GTCGTTTAACATCATGCCACCTCTGGAATGACCCAGGAAAATTAATTTTTAAATCACTTACAGTGAGAAGTTCATTGAGAGTGGTCAACATAAAATTTCTACAGCAATCTGGAAAACAGCTAGAAATTTTCAATTAAAATCAATGAACCTGTGAAATAGCACAAAAGGGATTTTTTGTGGCTTGTTTCAAAACATATCAACTTTGTTTTAGTACAAAATAGCATAAACCATAGGATTCTGAGAAAGTTCTTGCATGATCTGAACTTCATTACCTAAATTAGGATCAGCTGAAAGTACTAGCTGGGAATTAACGATGCCTTGCAAGACAAAGGAATGTCACAGATTCCTAATTACACAGTACTGCCTACACTGATGTTTTTGTTGCTCTTTCAAGTGGCATCTTACAGCTTTAGAGAAAAGTTAAGGCAAGGAAAGGTGACTTCAAAAAGCTGTTGATTGAGTGGCTGCTACCAAGGGATTTGTTTCTGCCAGGCAGGCTAAGACTTGTTTTTCCCGGTCAGAAGCACAAGTCTGAATTCTAAAACCAGAGATCTCTTCCTCTACTGAGTAAGAAAAAGTATATTAAAAGCCTATTGTTTTAGCATGGAGTACACATAATACTTAACATTTTCATATTTGATTGCAGATAAGCCTTCAGTAAACACTTCTACTGGAGCTGGATAACTTTCAGCGTAGTGTCCTGCACATCAGTAGCCAGTGCTCACGTCAGGGGCAGGTGAGGAGACAGAACAAAAGGCTGCAGTGTCAACACAACTACAGATAACTTTCAAACAACTTCTCAACACTGAGGTTTATTTTTCTAATGCTACTACCCTCCAGGAAGTTATTAATACAAGAATGAGCAGTCATCAGTGTGTATAGAATAACTGAGTTCAGCACAGCAGAAGAAAGAGCCCAGCTGGCTGATCAACAAGGACAGACATGGAGAGATAGCCATCATCCTTTCCTGTGGGGAGAGGATGGACCAAAGAAAGCCTTTGGAAAGGTTTTGCCAGTACAGAAAATTAGAGGCCCAAATTTAAGCCCCTCCTGAAACTTGTGCATACACACACACCCACACAAGAACATGGAGCCACAGACATTCTTTAGACCAAAGAAATGTATACAACACCCTTATCTTCTCAGTTTGTCTGTCTGGGCTGGTAGAAAACCCATAAATGGAGGGCAATGTATTTTTTTGATAACTAGGATGTTGTGTGAATTATCTTCCCTGAAGAGGACAGGAAACAAACTTATTTATTCATGTACCCACATACAAATTTCCTGCTTGTTAATTAAACAACCAAAGAGAATGGCTATAGGTTTACTGACCCACAAGATGCTTTTCTCTAGACATAGCAACAGTGTCAGCACAAAATTCTCACCAGGTTTCTCAACCTCTATGTGCTGTTTTTACACTGAACAAGTCACTCTAATCAATCTCACTGTGTTCTGCTTAGGTTACTTGCAAACAAGCCAAAGAACTTCAGCTGCGATGCGAGTACTTGTTAATTTACAAATGGCTACAAAAGCTGTTGAAAGTAGCATGTGCAGCTCTGCAGTAACTATACCTCCTTTTTATTTTATTACTTCTGCTATAAATGAAAAATATACAGAGAGCTGCACAAGGTTACTGTCCTCCTGTCAGTCAAGGGAACAGAACTGCAGTTAACTGCAAGGTTCTGAAATAAATAGGTTTTGACTGCTGAGGTAACTTTTAACTACAAGACCAGCTCAGCCATGGGCTTCTGACAGCTTTTTCCTTCCCTCTTTTTTTAAGCTCAAATTTAATCCAATCATTAAAATATTTGTTGAAGTGCTCTGTCTGCTTGGCAGCACAGCCCACACGACAGACAGGGTGATGGATGACTTATTTAAGCAGGAATACTTTTTTTTGCATTCCGCCTGTTTTTTATTGTGAATTGTTTGTGCAAAGATTTGGTAGGTGGAGCTTTTGAATGAATTGCAGCAGACCTGGCACAGGATGGCACTCACGTTGTTCACTCAGATATGGGATAAACAAATGTTAAAGATAAAAATCATGAATAAACATGAGTTTTCAGCCTTTTCAAAATTTCATCATTATTCCAAATTTTGTTTTCAGTGATAAAATTAAATTCTAAACAAGCATTCTCATTTCATTTATAGATGCTTTAAAATAGTTTCTGAAAAATAAACCAGAAGCATTGATCTCAGCATGAATTTGACAACACTGATTCTTAACATGGGTATTTCTAAGTTTATTTTCAGGAAATCCTTATGTTTTTCTCTCTATGCTAAACTATATCAGAAGAACTGACATGGGAAGATGCAAGAGAACTTCAGTAAGAAAGGCTATGCTTCACCATCCCTTTCAAATCATAGCAGAATGAACTGCAGCAGCACGTTAGGGAGAAAAGAGTAACAGCCACAGCAAGACTTTCTGTAGGATCTGTTTGGGAAAACAGTTGAACTCCCAGGTACACAGATGCACCCTCACATCAGACAGTCTAAAAACATAAATTCTAATTGAGAATATGTGCTGCCAGTAACTGATTCTGTGCCCAGATGTACAGAATTTGACACTTTTTCCTTCAATTTTTGGTCTGAAAAAGCACTAAAAAGGTATTGACCATTCTTCTTTTTACAGCTGATCACCTAAAGGTATTTGCACATGAACCTACATATAAACTCTGGAATCAGTCTATTTTGAGATCACAAAGTGTCTTTGTAAGGAAATGCCCACACTTTCTGACTGTGTTTGTTATACAGAGAATGGGCATTTTAACCCTGTGACCTCCCCAGGAACACCTTTAGTACATGTGGAACAGATGGGCAAGTCTTCATTTGGCATTACTTTATCATCTTTGATGTTGGTTTGTGGAGGAATTCATGAGCACCTTTTCTACCTGAACATACAAACCTAACTGTTCTCACAGTGCTCACACAGTGCAGTGCTAGCAAAGGACTGACTGTATTTAGATAACATTATCAGCATCATTAGAGTATCACAGTCTCATGTTTGCTATTTCTCTGAAGGCATTAGTTCCTAAAAGCTGGATATTATGCAAGAATTCAGGACTCTGTGGACAAGGCATTGGTAGGGAATGGACAGGCAGTCTATAGGTGTCACTCCAAAGTAAAATTTCAAAAATACAATTTCAGTTACATGTCCTTGAGTATCAAAAGGCTTGAAACACTCAAAAGTATTTCAAAGTTTTTTAAAACCTACAACTATTTTAAAACTCTCGATTATCTTTGTTCAAAGGATCCTGATGATACCTGCCATGGTAGAGCTTGCTCTTTTCTTTCTTCCCAAATTGTATTCACTTGGCAGTAAGTGAGAAATGAGAGGTTTGTGGTATGTGCTTGTTCTTGAGGCACAGGCAGGTAAGGTGACATTCCTGGCCGCTCATGCTGTCATACAATGGAGGAATCTCATGCACAGGTGAAAAACTGTTGAGCAAAGTACCTCTGAGAAAGTTTCAGAAACTGAAATGTATTCATGCATGTTTTGGAACAGCTGTGCACTGGCAGTGTGAGCTACTTACCCTGTCAAGCTGAAGGAAGCAAAGAGGTCAATTAGATTTTAGCTGTGGTCAACAATACCAGTATCCTTTTCCTTCTGGCTCCTCTCAACAAAGACACTGCCCATTTCAAAAAAATAAAGAACTACTTTTCCTCGATTCATGCCATCAAAAATAGGAAATGCAAACTTGTAAAAACATGCTGTGAATACTCAGAAGGATGTGGCTGCTATATTTCAAGAATCAGAGAAGATGTCACTGAAGTCGGTAATAGCCCTTCCCTTCCCCACATAGTTCTGCTACCTTATGTTTTATTGATACTGAGTTTAAAGTGACACTGTTCTTCTAATATTTATTGAAATATTTTAATCACAAACAATAATAAGACGGTTTTCTGCACTACCTCTACTGTTACATGTCAGGCAAAGCTGCCATGTGGTCTTTGGGAAGAATGGAGCTTTCAGGCCTTTTCTTTTTTTTCACTAATTGTTAAGCAGAAGCAAGAAGTATCAATATTGAGAAATGCCCTGAAGGCTGCACTAGGACTGCTACTATTTAATAATCATGACACTAAATGATTCTACAATTTAAAACTTTGGAGTATATTTTAGTTGCATAAAAACAACAAAAAATCCCTCAGCAAGGTATATCACAATGTCTCCTCAATCCTACAGCAAGACAGGGACTGGCTCACCTTACAGACACAGCCATGAGTAAGAGCAGCCTGAGATTATCTACAAACCTTCAGAAATGGTTTCAAAGGCTCAGAATGGCTTGAACCAGCTTCTTGCCAGTGACAATCTTCCATCTACACTAAGTAGGGCATAATTTAAATGCTTTATGCTTAAATAGACTGGCACCTGGCACCATCAAAGGCATTTTCTGGCATTGAGAAGGAAATTTAATTTGAGATAGATAATACAGCAATGTATCTTTGAAAACATTTCAGTGCCATGATTTGGACAGGAACAGAATTTGAACCTGAAAACAAAGTTTAATATCCATAGAAAAATACATTTTAAGAGCAGCTTAAAAAAAGAAAAAGGTGCATATATTTTTAGTACAGAGAAATTTAGCATACTAAGCAATGGAAGTGTTTCTGGGCAGGACTGTACCCACACCATAGGAAAGGACATATTTTATTAAGAAAGACTTAGTTATATAACTTCTCAGAGAAGCATCTGAAAAAGTTACACATGCAGACTTCAACAGGGAGAGAGACTGAAAATGGTGCAACTTCTACCAGTAGAAATAGAAGCAAGTTTAAATGCAGGTCAGCATTAAGCATTCTGAAAGACTACACCTGACCTGACTTCTATATTCTTTAAAACACAGGGTAAACAAATGAGAAGCAAAATAAATACCTCTTCAAATGGCTCAGAAACTGCTACTGAGCTTCACAGCATGGAGGAGGGCAGAGTCCCTTGTTGTTGGCATCTCCCACCTTTCAGCACCAGACTGCATGACTGGTCATTTGGTCCCAGTTTTCTGTGTTTCCAGCTGCTAGGCTACATTAGAAGAAGAAAAAAAATGCAGCAAATCTTTCCTAATGTATTTTACATAGACAGCTTCTATTTTATTCCTAGAAGTATTTGCAGTCAGACAGAAAAGGTGAAGAGATTTAGCCAGTCACATATGGGAATGGAAGCAGTTTATCAGTGCACAGTGCAAATGATGTTTAAAAACTCCCATTACTACAGAAATAAAGAAAATTCAGATTTCACAGCCAATAACCCATTCACATTAACATGAAGAACCGATAAAGTTCCATGGTTTTGCACACAGGCCAACCAGTCACCTCAATTGCTTGGTCAGAAAATCTCCAATCCTCCAAAACTAACTTCAAAATGTCTGAACACCTAACAAACACCAGTGAAAGGTGAGAACCAGACATCCATCAGTGATCTCACACACCATGGAAGACCTCAGAGGCTTTCCTCCATTTCTGGTACAGTGGTTTGTAGCTCAAAGCTGAACCAGGTGAGCTGGTCACGGAGAGAACTTCTTGGGGTCCGGCACTGCTCAGTATTTTTATGCCAGCTGGATAATGTGACCAAATTAATCTTCCCTGAGTTTGCAGATGACACCAAGCCAGCAGAAGAGGGAGGCAGAGCTACAGCCACTGTCCAGAGAGACTTGGACAACCTGCATGATCAGGCCAACAAGAATTGCAGGAGCCTTAGCACACATGAAGTCTCACACCCGCAATGCAACAATGCTGAGCAGCAGCACAGGCTGCTCCATTGCAGTTCTACAATTAGTATCCTATAATTAGTAAAATACCAGTGTAATGTAACAGGCAGAGAGACAGATGAACAAACAGACCATACATTTCTACCTCGTGAAACTGCATTGGGAAACCAAATTCCATACAAGTCTGGCAAAAAGTTTTATATACACAAACTGAAAACTGCCTTGAATCTTCCAGACAGAATCAGTTATCTGCGAAAAATAACTCACAGCTAAAGTATTCATACTATGAGAAGTCATTAAGAGCATTTAGGATTTTGAATCAGAACTATTTGTAAATTGCAAACACAAGTTCAGCTTGTCAATAGCTTAATACTGCAGACAAAACAAGCAGAGTTCCAGAAAAAAGAATAAACTGAATAACCGAATAAATACATCTAACAGTTGGAAAAAAGCCACATTACAAAATGCTTTGTATTTCACACAGAAGATTTTAATATACATTGATTACTGAGGCCTGATTTCAAAAAAATCCCTACCTCCAGGATTTTTTATCAGGTATACTTCAGTAAACAATTTCTTTTTTATTTTTACCCTTACGACATTAAAACATGTCCTATCAAGTCCCAGTGAACAGAATGCTTGATCAGGTGTGGTAACTTCCTCAGTCCAAACAAGACTTGGAAGAACACCTTTAAGACCTCTGCTTTTTGTGATAGCAGTTTAAACATGCAAAAATACAGCCCTGCTGTTATTATTTTACTTGTTTAGCTGTACTTCTAAGTTCCTCAAAGCAAATTTATGGCCCTTACTATTCAAATAAACACAGCTTTTGTCCTTCATTTGTTGCACTATTCTGAAAATAAAAATATATTTTTGTAAGTTATTTAAAAGCCAGTAGACACCACATGTTGAAAAAGCTAAATAATTAAATCCAAGTTGTTCCCTCAATACACAATGCACAAAGTAAAATATATCTTTAAAATATACAAGAACAAAAATCCATAGTGAATCTGAAGAACTGGGAAAGCTGAAAAACTATTTTCCTCGTTACACGGCATTAGAGGTTGTTGTCAGCCACTGCTTCTTCACTTTTCAACTCTTCAAGATGCAGTTTTTCTACAAAAATCACCAGACCAACAGAAGACACACTGTTCCTTATAACCAGCCAAGTGGCTGCAGCCACATCCTTTTTTTCTCTGACTGATTTTGAGATTTTCACTAGAAACATGTCCCCTGAGGTACCAAAGGGTTAAAGGTTTAGAGAATGCTTCAGCTATTGGAGCCATTTCCCCTGCCAGCTCATCCTGGTTCCTCTGAAGCCTCAAGAAACCTCAGATTTTTTGTGTCCTCTTGTTCTTCAGGCTTATTCCTGCTACAGTTGCATTTTGTTGAATTTAGTTTTCCACTTTTTCTTCACTTTTCTTTGCTTGCAGAAATTCTTCCTTAGCTTCTTTGGAGCCACACCTTCATTTCTAACAGGCTTAGCTGGCTTGCCTTTTGTTTCCATAGATACTGGCTTTCCCTCTTGGGGTGTGTCCGATTGTCCTGTCACCCCAGTCATCTAAACACGTATGAGGAGAGAATTAAAAAAAAAACCAAAAACCTCAGAAAAGCAAATTAGAATTACTAGAATTAATAATCTTCAATCTCTGTTGAGCACAAACATATACAACTACATTCAGACAACTGCCTTCTAATTTATGTCATTTCAAACAGACCCACAGGGCACATCTGGACTGGCACAGCTGGTCTTCAGTCACCAGTGAGAAGTGACCAATCCTGCCTCTTCCCTGCCTGCCTGGATTGCCTTCTGGCAGACACCAAAGTGCACAAGGTAATTAGGAATGGATGCATGACAATTTTGCCTTTAAACAAGTCAGGCTGGGGCTACAACATATAACTCAACCTACAAACCATCTCACAGTGCACAAAGCTGGAGAGCACATGGCTTTTACACAAATGAGTAAGTCTCTGCTGAAGAAAAACAGTGCTTGAAAATCCTACTTTTAAAGGGCCATACTACCTCAAAAATAGTAAAAGGTGAGAGCAGGATTTTGGGAAATTTCCAAAGCATGATAAGCATCTCTTATTCACCAACATAAAAATTACAAAGCAGATGGATTCCCAAAAAATTTCTGACTCCCCAAGATGACATATAAACTACATCAGCTGTACTACAAGGGACTGAAATAGGTCATTCCTAAACTGCTAATCTGCTTTTCCATCAAGTGAGATACTGACCTTCTGTTTCCACCCTTCCCGGGGTGCAGGTGGAAAGGTGCATGGAACTCTTCCATGATTTATGTGGTAAGGCAAAGGGAGGCTGGGATCTAGTGGAACCCATGGGACTGAGAGAGTAGCAGGTACAGCAGGCAGATCACAGTGAGCTTTGTGCAAGTTATAGGATGATCTTGTGCTCTTGTCAAGAGAACTTTTGTAAATTGCAACTGATGAATCTCCTGCAGCATGAGTCAATAAATAAGAACCTTCCTCTAAACTAAAATGACAAAAGTTCAAAATTAAAAATATTATTTAAATGTTTTTTGGAGTTTTTTTATTTGATCAGGATAGTTAATACGTTCTTAATGCAAAAGCAGAACATCTTTAGATGTTTTATAAAAAGACTGTGCACAAGAAAGCATTAATTAAACTGTATTGATAAATACCTACTAATTATTAATAATTAGTAATAATAATATTAATAGATTATATAAGAAAAATATAACATAATATTTGATATAAAATTAATAATATTAATAACGTTATATAATAAAATAATATAATAAATATAATAATATTTCTAATGCATTCATAATATACTAATTTATCAACAATGTACACTCTGTCATCATATTCAACTAAACATCTAAGCATACACTGAAAACCATCCATGTTGGGCAAACTGTAATTCCTTAACCAGCATCTTAAAAAGAACAATTATCTGTGGACACAGACACAAAGAACAGATGAGCTTTCAACACACACAGGATTAAACAGGTTTTCAGGATGATGAAAGTCAACCAGCTGCCCGTACCAAAAATCTTAGTCAAAAATCACGAACCTACAGAAATTATAAAGAGCAGGAAAACCCCTCTGTAAATTGAATGAAAAGGCTTCACTCAACTCACTACAAGAAGCCTGCTTCACAAAAAAAAATTAAGACACTTGCAGCCTGAAAGCCCTGAAGTATCTACATAAAGAAGCAGGAGAAAGGTTGCAACGTTGTACAGAGAAAAACAGGCTGCTATAAGTCTAGGCAAGCAGAAGTGAGCACTGTTATTTCTACAAATCAAGCAGGAATACTAACAAAACCCAAATGCCTAAACTCTATGTGTCAGCCTGTATACATAATATTACACCTCACCCCTGTGAACTGTTTACTCAGCTCCTAAGAGTCCAGTTCCCCCAGTTGAAAAACTGGTTCAAAAGCCTCAAGTCCTTATTCTTTTCCTTTTTTTCCTTATTCTTTTGCATCATTTATGCAAACCTTGTAATAACCAGCACATTTTACACAGTATGGCATGCTATGCTAGACCTAAGAGAAGCTGTAAAATATTAATTTCTTCATGTATATGAAGAAATAAAAATCAGAGTAGACAAGCATTCTACAGACGAAATATGATGAGCTGGGAAATATGGCAAACAAATACAATGAACAAAAATTGAGAACTTACTCAGACACCTTTTTCAAAACATGATGAAGTATATTTAATGAATTTGCAGGCCTGTGAAAGAAAAAATAGCAAAAGTAGTAACTTGCAAGGCTTGTTAGGGTTTGAAATTCATTGCTAAAAAAACTTACTAAAAATACTCACTTAATCAATCCAAGTTTTTCTCTTAAAGTTTCTTGAGAAACCTTTTCTAGCATAATAAGCTTTGATGTAAAAGCATCAATATGTCCTGAAAAAGAGAAATTCAATTAATACACTAAAAATAAAATTAAACAAATATAAGAGCATAATTTGCAGACCTAATGCCTTTTTAAAAGGATAAAAAACTTTACTCTTTTGGCATAGAACAGTTGAAGTATTTATTAGTGTTGCACCATAACAGAAAGTAAAATGTGCAGCTGCTTTAAGTGCAGCCATCTGTTCCTGGACTGTCCTTCGAAGGCAGGAGATGCCTGACTCCAGCAAACCTTACGTCTTGGGTGGTGTGTGAGATACACAACCATACCTTGCCATGGTCTTAATCTCATCAGTTCATTTGACAAGTTCACAGGTTCATTTTACCCTTATCACTTTGCTTCCTCACTGGACAGATTCTGAAAACATATCTTTAACAATAAATTTATTTTTTTGCATTTAATGTACTTGCTTTTCTATATTCGGACCTATTGCGTGACTTTCTGGGGATGCTGACCTTTGTCTCTTGATTTTTCCCTCCCTTCCTCACTTGAGAAATTACAATTTACAACTCAGGCCTTGATCATGGCAAGTTGTTAAAGACTGTCTTTGACACAATAAGAAGCAACAGTTCAAAGCTCTCCTCATAACATTTTTAAAATAAAGGCTGCCAAGGACAGTTTAGCCCACATTTCATTTGATGAGCAATAAGGATCACCAGCATAGCTTGGACATCGATTTGACAACTGTACCTTGCCTTCTAGTTCTTTCTCATGCTGATGTTTTCCCAGAAATCTATTCTATTTCAGCTCCCACAAGGAGGATGAGGAAAATGTAGCATAATGAAATACAGCCTACTCAGTGGAATTTACTGTCTTACTATAAATGTGCTCTCTTAGGAAGTCTAAATGATTCAACTGCATAGTTAAAACTGCTAAATCAAAGCATTGCATATTCCAAGCTATCCATTACCAAGTTAATGTGTTGTGTAAGAAGACTAAGTAATAACTCTCACTTTAACAAATTAAAAAATATGCACCAGGCACAACCAATTTCTTTTAAATACAGTACCTTTGTTATTTTTCTTGATATTTTGTGCAAGACTAAGCAACTAAATTTCATATTCTACCTTGCTGACTACAAAAAGAGACTTGAAGTCATTATTAAAAATGTAATTTAAAAAAATCTGTTTGAGTTCTGTATTCCTCGACAGCCTCTCTTCAAACCAGACTTCTCTACTTCTGAACACACTGACAACATAACTGGGAAAAAAACAGTAATTACAAAATATCTATGAACTACTTCCACCTAGTTTATATAACTGTATCTTATATTTGAGAAGTGACTTATTGAAAATACTTAACATGTAGTAAGTTACCCATACACTCAGTATTTTTTTCCAACCCATTCTTCAAATAATCTTAATTTAAAGGCCAATACTATTCCATTCATGTGAAGGTAAACTGTTCTTGCAGAAAGTTTTGCTTAGGCACTTAATGCAAATAAGTGAGTAATGGTCAGGGTAAAATGCTCCCATTAATCAGCAAAGCTTATCACAACTTTATTTACTGGTTAGATCAAGTACAAGTGCCTTATTTGGGAAGCTTGTCACAAAGATTACTGCCTTTGCAGATGCAGGATTTCCTGTCTGAGTAGCAAGGGGACTTAACAACCAAGACAGGTCCTTTGCTAGCAAGAGGAAGACAGCACTCTTTGATGATAGTATCTCTGCTTTTTGAGAACATCCTAAAAAAAATTCAACTTCATCTTCCCCCCTGCAGTTGCTGCAGGAGGCCATGGTTACACGTCTGATTTCTGTCTCAACCTCTGAGCTGGCAGCACTGCTGAGTCATGACAGAGCTGAGATCCTCCCTCTATCACACACAACAATGCTGGACAATTATGGGGCATAGACCAAGGTCCAAAGAATTTTTCATCCATACTTACTTGTCAATACAAGAGATGGCTGAGACAGTGAATTAAGCTTTTTCAAGAGCCAAAAACACCTGTGCAGTTTACCACTGAAGTCTGCCACATGTTTAAAAGTTAAAAGGCTTAAGTGTCTGATCAAGAATGCAAGTTGTAGGTACTGTGTTAGTAACATCATAGTTTTCAAACCATGTTGTTCCATACTTCCACACTCACACTGTGAGGTAAATTTAAAAAGAGCAGTAAGTTTTAAGGCTTTATAAAATGTTTGATTTAAAAATTATATTATAGAAAACATAATTTCACTTAAAATAGTTCAAATTACAGCATGATTTCAGAAGCTCTCTGCCCTTCTCCTCACATTGAACAGATCACTGCAGTAGTCCTACTATCAGGTATCAAATTAATGACAGAGAACGAGAGATTCACCCCATTTTAAGTTGCCCATAACACAAGGATATCATCACCCGCAGAGAACTGTCCCTGGAGTTTCAGGACAAAGCTCTCTGCTGCAAAGAGCTCTCTGAGTAAATCTGGACACTTGTAACATTGCATTTTTCACAGCTCCCTCAGGAATACAAACAGAAAGGCAGAATTTCATAGCTACCTTGCAATATACCAAGAGTAGAATATGATAATAGTTTCCTATTAAAAACTGTGGTAGATGCTGTGTCATAGAATGGATACTTACTTCCACACATTTTTTTTACCTACCTCTATAAGAAACTACATGGCAGTACCAAGAATCTGCCCCAAAGGCCAGGAGTACCCATCTACTGTGCAGGACAGTGACAGCCCACAGAATCCTGTACCTTCTCAGAGCCCACAAAAGGAGAACTCCTATGCACCCCAGGGCTTGCTTCTGGAAAAAAAGTGTATCCAGGAGCTGACAAACAAACATGTCATTTATCCCAAGCAGGGAAGCAGATGTGCTGGAGGACAGGTCAGTGCAGCCTGCTGGCCCAGGGCACTGCCTGTCAGGTACCTGCAGGTACCTACAGGAGACACACAGAGGAAATCTGTGCTGGAGGGGAAGGGCTCTGTGGCTCTTCATCTGCAACAACACCTGCACACCCAGCCTACTTTCTCCTACATTCCCAGAGCCTCCATAAAATGGGGTGGTGGCTGGATGAGCTGTCTGCAAACTCCTGCGCAAGCCATACCTTCAATATCCTGTAACTGATGGGAGATTAGATAGACACTCCTCTCCACTTTGTGTACTTAGCAAACATCAGCCCTCTCTCCACACTTCACTGTTTCCTCACACTGCTTGCCTCTCTAGAAATGTTAATAAAAACTTGGATAATGTTTCCTGCAGGAAGCCCAGGTGCAGTGCAGCTCAGCATGCAGGGTATCTCCTCAGTATAAATACCCAGAATGCACTCAGTACAGCGGTCTGCTTGTTAGAGAGAAGCAAGGCCTCTGTACATTGAGATACAGTTACAAATAGAGAACTCTGTGTATAATGAACTCATCACAAGGATTTCCTTTTTAATGGAATGGAAAAAACACATCAAATACTGCTTTTAAAGTTTAAAATTAGAAACATAATTTTCATTGAATGAAGAGAGCAGACTAAGTTGCAATCAGCAAATACATTAGATTTCACATAATCCTAATAATTCTATGGTAGCTTGCATAGTTTTTATGTAAAAACTGGAAAACAGAGAAGTTAGCATTTCTAAAATAGCATTCTGTTGTGAGCCAACAACAGCAAAAGTGTAATTCAGTGCAAAAGTGGAAAGGTTAGGAAAGGTCTTTGTTTCTACAAGAAGGCAAAGCAGGCCCCACTGCAGAACATTCAGTCACTGTATAAACAGGATGGTACTCACTCTGTAGCATATGCCAAGCATATTCTAAATATCAACTAACCACTTTGTTGCTAATTTTCCCTTTTAAAATCTTCTTAATTACAAGATAATTGGTATCAGAAAGCTCTCCATACATTAAAATGGTTGTTAAAATAATCTGGTCACATTCTTTATAAGTACCATTTTAATTTCTCTACATGACATATATTTCAACAAACATTAAAACTTTCCTGACTTTTAAAATGTCATGGTACAAACATGAATATAGCATTTTCTAGAGGACATGGATACTATTTATCTAAAACCAAAGTTGGAATATCCTCATCCATTACCCAACAGAAATTTTAGACAAAAAACTTGCTGAAGATAGATGTGAAAAAACAAAATTAATAAGTTAAAGTAAGAAAGGATATATGGAATATATCTTTAATAAATATGTATCTCTTCTGTTATGCTACAAATACTTACATATACACGTGTCTTAAGCAAAAACTAAATACATGAACTTACCAATATAAAATAAGCATTTAGAATGCAGCATACTCTGTGTCCACAGCTGGCACACTTCACTTTCTGTAAGAGCTTCGACACCGTAGTAGGCTTGGTATTCTAGTTTTGGCAACAGGAATATGGGAGTCAGCTGAAAAAGATAAGATGAAAAAAAAATTAGCAATCACTGTCCAAAAGCATCCACAATTTAACTACATTTTGATAGTTTAAAATAATCACAGTCCTCCACCACAGCTGAAGCAACAAAGACATTTCAGAAATTTTGTTTGAAGGTTCACATTCTATGAAATCCACAGTAGAAACTTTGGAGTACAGAGACTTTATACAGAGAAAGATGAAATGGACAGGGGAAAGGAAAAAAAAAAAAAAAAAAGAAATCAGAAAAAAAGGCCTGGGCATGCTTTTACAAATAATAAAATTTTGCCACTTAGTAATTTTTCCATGTGACTAAATTAATTTCAAGTTTATACTTCTGTGCTCTACTGCCCCCTGCAGCAATTTAAGAAAAAATACACATTTCTAATTAGCTTATTAGCAGAATTCTGCCATTTATCACGCTTGTCAGAATCTCACTTGAAATGAGAACCTAATGCCTGGACTCTCAATTGAAATCAGAGGCTACCCTAACTAGTGAGTTAACCCTAATGAGCATTGTCATTTCTCACTGACAACCTACAGTTTAAATTTCAGTAGAAATTTTTAAAAAAATCGACAAGGGATCGGTTTCTGCGTAACTAAACAGTTATTCTCAGGCATTTATGAGCAGTGGATAAATAACAAAAATATGGGATTTTTTCAAAGTAAGATTCTAAGCAGAGACTCCTGGCAAGTAATCAGAGTTAGAATGATTATTTCCATTTCAACAAAGCATAAGCACCTCACAAAACACCTGCCTGCTGTAAATCTGGGATTCTCAGGAAGGACATACCACAACAAATTTGCTGAATGATTCAGAGGACTCCTTAAAAAAATTACAAATTAATGAGAATTACAGAATAAAATTTCCTTCTCATACTGCAAGGAGTATTTTGATTACAGTTGCAGTCAAACCACTCAATTCCATGAGAAACTATTTGCTAAGAAATGCCACAGTATTTTCAAAAAGAACAAATAGAATCTCTTTTTGTGTTCTCTGTTGTTCATTTTATCTCCTATTTCTCTGCTTAACTAGGCATGATAGCAAGGCTGAATCCTGCTTGAAAGTATTTATGATCATGAACATTCTCAAAGCCTTGGGCCAAACCCCTAATTATTCCATTAACTTTTAAGAATGGTTCAAAATTACTTTTTGTTTACATGAGTATCCTTACTCAGGCATATTACTGTAGTAAAAAATGGAGAATCACACTTCCTTATCTTGTAATCAAGTAGCTTTAAAGAAATCACAAGTTATTCTTCCCTGTCTTGCTATATCAAATGTTTACTTATAGAAGACATACTGCAAAGTCACAATTGTCTCAGTCAAAGCACAAATGCTATCAAGGACTGGGAATCCCAGAAACGCCAGTTGAGCACAACTGCTTTAAAAAAAAAAAGCAAACCAAAAAAAGCTGAAAACAAAATCTTTACCTTTTGGGCTTTATTTTTTTTCTGGTATTGTGTCAGTGACTTGACTTTCTGCACACTGCAACGCACAAGTAACAACAGATCATTCAAACTGAAGAGCTTGTAAACAACGTTGCCTTCCTCAGGTGCTTGATACTCTGAAGGGTCTTCTTCAAGCAGCTGAAGTTCACTTGACAGATTTCCTAGAGAAAATGAATAAACCAGAAAATGACAAGCTTGGACACTCTTTACCATGAAGCTGATTAGCTTTATTCCCCTGCAGTAGAGTTATTTGTTCAGTTTTGTTGTTTTTTTCCTAAATTCTAGGATCTGTTTTGTTTCCTAAGATTTTGGGGTGAAAACTACTTTGTAAGGCACAACAAAGTCACTTACATATTAAAAAAAAATAAATTAAAAGTAATTACATTTGTGAAACATTCATTCTTAAAAAGTATATTTTTAAATAATCCCACATCATTAGATTTCTCACACAAATAGAGAGAACTCCAAATGGGAGACTCCATGTATAAATGTAGTTCAAAAGCTGCTTTTTAAGCCACAGACACGCAGCACAAAGGAGAGAAAAAATTTATTTACAGTGAATGTCTACTGAGAGCTGCCATCCATTCATCAGCTACTGAAATAGCTCAAGTCTCAGGTCTGGATGGCAGCACAAGTCTCTGCACTAGACACGGAGTTCATACATACACTGCAGCGCAGCTTGCAGTACGTTACCAAACATCCCTTCGACCCTTAGAAACATTTTAACAAAATGTTTCAAATAAGCACAGTAGACTCCAAATTAGATTACTGAAAATGTATCCAATTCTTTCTCTTTTTGTCCTGCAGATAATGTGGAAATATGTGTCAAAACTACACCTACAAACAGGGTAGCGCAATGAACAAATATATTTTGAACATAAAATTTAGAGTTTATGTACATGCACACTGTGGAAGATATTAGCCAAGGAACTGGAAGTAATTCTCTGTTAGTAAAGTATGTAACTCAAATCTGGCTTTCTGCAAAATAGACACAGAAAGGTTTCTCAGCTTGCTATAGAACTTTTGAATTGTAGAATTATGCTTCTATTCATACGCAGTCACTTTTCAGACATGTTGGCAATACTGGATTCACAATCTCTATTACAGAAAATTCTCTTACAAAACATCTGAATTCTATACCTTTTTAACAGACAGAGAAATAAAGCATCATGCCTCAGTCTTTCAAACTGAGGGAAGAGACACGGTTTTAACAATTATTCATTCAAATCAATAAAAATGAAGGAAGTGATAACACAATTTCAGCTAAAATGGAATTAATTGTGTTAAGCTATAGGTTAAGTAATAATTCCTACATGATCAAATGCATACCTCCTCAGAAAATACCAAACACGTTTTCCCACCAAAAAGCACGGGTTTGTTGGAATTAAATATTTGAGAAGAGTATCTGTCCTAACACAACCTGTCTGGTTCTTGCATATTTATCTGACACACTGAAGTGTTTCTAACTTCAGCTGTACAGAGCTCAGAAGCAACTCAGGCATGTGAGGAAAACCTACAGGCCCATGGTCTCCAGAATCTTCAGGGCTTGTAATTCTGGGCTAAGGTCCAGGTGCAACATAGATTCAATACCTAGCTAATTGCCTGAAAACTTGGAGAGGTGGCTTGTAGTGAATCCTCATTTGCCTTCTGGGACAGAGTGCTGAGAGTAAAGCAACTGCAACTGAGCCAGGAGGCTCAAAACTTACGACATAAAAATTTAATTTTTTTCCCCCATTTTTAATTGCATAATTTGATTTTTATTCTACAAAAAATTAAAATAATTCTACTCTTGACTGACAAGACACTACTTCTGCAGACCAGACTACTCAAATATTTGAATTTCTGTGCAAAAATAACTCATTCCACTACCAAATGGTTTCTTTTCCTCGATTAAAAACCTTGTGTATAACAACTTGTCTCTTTACAGTAAAACACTATTTCACATTCACATCTGTGGACAAACAGCTGCCAGTGCTCCCTTCTGTGTGCAAGACAGTAATTCCCACACAGAGAAGGTACTGTTAACCTGAGTCACATCTCTAAATAGATGTAACAGATGCACTATTGAGACCCTCTTCAGATGAAGGAGGTAAAGTGCTTTCTGTTCAATTTTCCTCCTTATGCAGTGACCACACTTACTCTTTGGCACTCCCTCAAAAAGCCATGTCCAGGTATTTCTAGAGGAGCGGGTGGGATTGGAGGTTGGGGCTGGCACAGTTTCTCTGCTGGAGGTCACCAGTGTTTTTGGGGACTGAGGCAGCTGGGCTGGCACAGCATTAGAATTGTCACAGCTCACCACTGGCTCATAAGCTTTTTGGGAAGGGGACTTGAGAAGTTCAGTCTGCATTTCCAAAATTTGCCCAACAGGATCCAATTCTTTGGATAACTTTCTTGAAGGTTTCTTGGAGGCTTTTTTCCTCTGATCCATGGTATCTGAGCAGTCAGTGATGCTTGCTAAAGGACTCTGGGTAGGGGAAGGAGATCTGACAGTCTCTGCTGAGGTACAAGAAACAGTGGTTGGTACAGCTGGTTTCCAACAAGCAGTGGTTGTACACTCTGAATCAATCACCAAACGCTCTTCATCTGTGTCACTACTGCATGAAGAACTGTAAGTCTCTTTTCTCTGTGCAGCATCAGGCTCTTTCTCAGAACTCACAGCAACAGACAGAGAATTTAATTTTGTTTCATTGTCCAGTACTTCCTTGGTCATGACATCCTGTGCTTTGTTCAGTCCTACCTCCACTGACTGAAAGCTTTTACAAGGAGAACGTTCTTGAGGCCTGAAGCATGGAGTGCCATCTAATGATGGAAGCTGCATGCTGGCACACGCTGAACCTTCTTGCTCAGAAAGGGTGATTTTCTCCTCTGCATCTCTGCTGTTTATGGCAGATGAATTCTTCCCCCCCGTTTTTAAGCCATGAGATAAATCATTAGCAGTGTTACTAGCTGCAGGAAAAGTACTTTCCATTTTACAAGTTCTTGAGAGTTTGGTAGCTGCTCCAAAAGTTTCAAGCTCTGTAACATCAACATTGAAGTCCATTCCTGTGTCATCTGGAGGAGGAATTGTCCTGCACTGGTAGGTATCAGAACACACCTTAACACAGGGATGAGGAAGTAATAAAATTAAAAAAGGCCAAAATTATAAAAAAAACCAAGAAACAAGACACTGCCAAATGGAAAACACAAAAAAATAATCTATCATCCATATCTGCTAGGAAGGAGGAAAACTAATTGAAGAACAATTTTTCTTGTTTAACTTGGAATATCTTGGGTTCTACAAGTTGAAAGGCCTTTCTAAAGAAGCAAATTGATCAAAAGACGTTTTAATTAAGTAAACATTAAAGCTGAAATGCCCATGCACTTAAAGGAACCAGACAGACATTTTCTAACAGGGTCTATAACTCAGCAATAGAAAACCACCATGAGAAAACTTAAATTTCTCTTTATCACAAAAAATGTAACTTAGAAATTTTAACACAAGTTTTTAGTTTTGCTTGTTTTTAAGAATATGTGAACCTACATACATTCCACTGAAACAGGTTGTCCTCAGCTGGTTTGTCCATTGATACATCAGAAATTGAAACATAAGATGTTTTAGTTGCTAGGAAATCCATTGGAATTTCATGGAAGATTTGATTCCTCTCTCTTACTGTCATTTCTTTTCTCATCAGAGGTGGATCAACATAAGCCACTTTGGCTGATTTGCTACCTTTCCAAGAAAAGAGATTGAGTACATATTAAATGAAAGGAAGAAAGACTGCTGTATAACTTAAATAAAAAAATCTTTCAATTTCCAATTACAGTCAAATCTACTGCACATACACACCAGAAGAAATGAAAAATGACCCTTTCATTCATTAACAACAGAAAATAAAAGTATGTCCAGATACAGTGTGAATTATTATGATCCTGCAGCAGGAATATACACCACATTAATAGCTGAACATATTTCAAATGCAGTTCTAAGTAGAGAATCTGTAAAATAAGAACTGAGGTTTCATCATTTCCTACACAACAGCATATCATCAAATGTATCCTGTTTTCCAAAAAGATCTTTTTTTCTTCCTTGTTTGAAACTCAGTGCTTTTATTTAAGTCTCGTTGCCAAAGTGATAGCTACAGTTTATTTCTCTTCTGATCAGTTAACTCTGTCAGGGCTCTGCTGCCCCACTCCTTTGTTTGCACCTCAACACACATACGAATCACCCAAAAATAAAAGCCCATCACAACAGAAAACCAAGGCGCATGGTGAACACAGCCCTCCCTGTTTTACAAAAAAACATAAATTAAAGCATGGGGCTGATTACAGTGAAAAGTGGAAAAGGAAGTTGCAGGGAAACCCTTCAAGAACCACTGTGTATTTCTAGCACAATCTGAATGCCCTTTAGGTGCTAATTTTGGATCCAAAAATTAAGCTTAAATCTGTAATGCTGCTACAAAAGGAATCAAACATTCTCTTTACTGATAAAGTCATTTAACTTCTCATAGGAAAGTGAAAATTTGTAAATGTTGCAGGTATTTGATAGCTTATTTACTATCTGTAAGTATCCTAAAGAAACTTGTGTAAAAAGCACTTCTTTTACACAGAATGTAAAAAAGCACAACAAAAATTATAAATACTTGAATAAACGGTATTGTGTTTAGAAAGTGTAAGGGAGGAAATTTATATAAAAATTACTGAAGAAGTGCTTGACACCTAAAGTAAAACAAGCAGATGACTTCATCAGTTTATTTAAACACTTTCTGTTGCAACTGAAAAAATCATCTTCACAGACGTTAATTCCTCACTTACTATTCTGTGATGTAAATAGATCCTTTTAATTCCAGAAAATGTTTGCTCTTTGCTTTTTCATAAAATTTCTGAATTTCTCTGGTTTTTCAGTTTACTGAAATCATGTCACTTGAATTTTAATAGCTTCATGCAGTTTTTTTCTTCCCAAATTGCACATCTTACAGTTTAAAAGCAAAACTGGTTTTAAGTGTTTTTTGTTTCAGCTTCTTTTTCCCCAGGTGGAAAATGGCTGAATGTCCAAATGCAAAGTTTAGGGTGGTAACTGTAGAGGTTGTTACTCTTCTCAGTAACAAGGTGGAAAAAGGTACAGGAAACCATATCCAGTGACCCTGGATCAGCTTTGCAGCTTCTTCGGACAACCCCCCCATAGTTTTATAACAAAAACATCCCATACCTGCAACAGTGATCATTTTAACACAAACTGGAATTTCCCATTGTTCCTTGTAGTTTAGTCCATGATTATTCAGTAAAGTAAATAACGACTGATTACTTAAAACAACTTGAGGACAGTATTTCAAAGCAAGTTTTTCTGCATTTGAATCTGAACTAATATCCTAAAGAGGAAAAAAAAAAAAAAAGTTATTTCTTTCAAAGATCTTCTTTTAAGAAATACACATAAATTTAAATTTACAAAAAAACTCCAAACCCAACCAAAAATGGATATATGCAACCCCTACCCACCACAAAAGTTCAGAGACTATAGTGCCAGGCTTCAAAATTAAATGAAAGAGAAAAAAACTTCCCTGAGGGTTTTCAGCTGACTCTTATGCATTCACATTGCAGGATAAGAAAATATATCTTTGAAACTTGTATTTTAAGTTAATTTCCATACCTTTGAATTGCTAGGTTGAATAGGAATTTAGGTAATCATGAAATGTGGGAACATGCTGAAGCAAAAAAAATCCCCCAAACCAGATTAACTCACAAATATACACTACAGATCTTTTTACGAGGTAAGCAACAGCACAATAAAGACATGTATTATTGAAGTCTGGTTAAAACTGAACAGTTGTTTCAATACTGATTAGATATAAAGAACCTTAAAACAAATATAAAATCAATAATACAAATTCAGAATTGAAATTATAAAATTGTTAAACTTTCTAAGTTTATAAAACTTTATTTCCATGAAGGAAGGAGACTGGGAATGCTCATGAAGTTGAGAACATCATCAAGGACTAAGAAGATAATGGGAGCCCAGGAGCACTGAGGACCATGAAAGAAGTAAGAAAAACCCAGCTATGTTCTTTTTTCTGCTATCTGAGACATCATCAGAAGGGTTCTGTTGACAGCTTTAACATCTTTGAGGCTTATACCATTCTCCTGCATCACCCCTGCTTCTTTCAGCAAGTGTCTTTGAAATTACAGTGCTTCTGTTGAAAGTTTGGGTTTTGATATGTGAAAAAACTCATTAAATTAACTGATAAAAAATTATGTGGCATAAACAGTCAAAAACCTCAGTTCTACAGAATGAAAACTCCCTGATTTTCACAGTAGAAGAACACAAAGAGAAATACCAATTATTTAATGGTCCAATGCAGTCGAAAAAGTGTTCAGCACATAAAAAGGATCAGATTGCACTTCTGTTCAAAATATGCCTTAAAAATGACAATAAAACGTTACTTACATTATGCATAACATGAGCCTTTTTTTCTGGGGTTATAATAGATGCAACAGTGCTATAATCTGTGGGCAGCTGAACAGGCATGGAAGAGAAATCTGTTTGACCACGTCTTGCTGTACCCTGGGGGAAATCAAGCAGTGTCAAAAAACAGCTTTCACAGCAATCATGCTCACCCAACACTGCACTTCTTATGAAGAAAAATATTAGGCATTTACACAGGTGCATTATAAAGCTATGTGATAAAAGAAAGCACACTATTAATGTAATCTTTTTATGGCAAACATCTGGTGAAAAGTGTTAACAGACTTACTACCAAAATAATTTTATTAAAAGTTTTAATTAATAATTTAATTTTTAAATTAGAACTCCTAACTCAAGAACTGAATAGTAGTTGCAAACATCCATAATCCTTTCATAACACCATTCTGATGTAATTCTACCTCCTTAAAAAACCCCACAAACCCAATATGTGTACATAACATATTACCATTGCAAGAAGATTTTTTTCCAGCCTAAAGGTCAGCTGTGTATGAAACTTTCCTCCCATGATACTCGTGATCTCCTGCAGGGTGTAAAACTCTGGATACTTCTGCACATGTCCAATACACGCACGTAGCAATTCCTAACACAAAAGGAATAATAACTTATGCATTTGTATCCTTCATAAGAATTTAATGTTGAAAAGCTTTTTTTCTGCAGTTTCAAGCTGCATTTAAAAACTTGCAGGTACCAATACAGATCTATAATACTCTTACAATCACTGCTATGAGAACTGCAATATATTCCAGATTCTCCTCAGCCCTTCATAAGAAAGGCTGACAATGCATGCACACAGCTCAGGCCAATCATTAAAAACATGCAGTGCAGTACAGTCTGCAATGTGTTAAAGCAGGCAATTTTCTTTTTAGTTATTTATCTTGGGTTTTACAGGAAGTAATATTTTTTTGTGTTATTACCCAGCTTACACTAAGTCTAGGCAAAAGTCACAAAGCTAAAGGCAGAGGGTAATTCCACTCGTGTTGAAACTCACTATCACGTCAAATCTACATAACTTTTTACAATATCTGAATTAAGTGTTTAGGATATTTAGATTTTATTCAGTAACTAGAATGAAGTATTTCTGCAAGTATTGGTTAAAACAAAATATGGGCCTCTATTTCATTTTTAAGTCAGGGTTTTAACAATAAATAGGACTTGAATTCTGGAGATATATTTTGTGACCAGATGACAAGATACAAAATTGCAAACCAAATCCCAACATTAAGGGGACAAAAAAAGGAAAGCAAGATGTTTGTCTTTCACGTGTGTCTAAACTCTGTGTTAACCCAGTAACAGCAAAGTTTAATGAAACAATATTCTGGATTTTTTTTCAAAAATGTACTATAAACCCAAGAAGGATACCAGGAAGTTGCACACATGTTTGATCTTAGAATCATCAAAGGAGATATTTAACACAGCATGAACTTGCAAGGGGTGACGATTAAAGCCTGAGTCACTTCTAAATAAAGTGACTTTTTAACATGCTACTGTGACATCCTATGAAGCTTTCCTGTGGAGGAAATCTTAACACTCTGTCCAGTAGTGCACATCTAGGAACCATTTCTTAATGGAAATCCATACTGAAAATGTAGCTCCTCCTTTACTGAATAAAAAGGAGCAATTTATTTATTTGATGAATAAATATTTTTGGAGCACTGTAAAAAGTGATTTCCCTTCTATCACATCTTTTGGGCTCCAGTGAACCACAGACCAAGCCACGCCGCACAGCATAAGGGAAATGGCCACTTCCCCATCTCATCCCAACACAAAATCAGCAGCAGGTCAGGGAACATCACATCCCATGAGCAGTTCTAGGCCTGGAATTCAGCATGGCATTGGTAATTACCTCAGTATAACACAGGGCATCTTCAGAGATGGCATCATAATCTTGGGCGCAGCTCTTTGCAGCGTTTTGGGCAAACTTCATAAATTCTGCAATTTCATTGTTTACTACTTCTTTCATTTGCTGGGGAAAGGAAACAAATCTATTTTTAAGACAAAACATACATACCTCTATGCTAGATAAGTAACCAACAAAATTTCCAGAGAGACAGTACAGGTAATGATATGAGGGAAGAAATGGATTTCACTTGCTACTCAATTTGGCAAGTGTTCAGTTTCACTTAAGTAAAAAAAAAATTTTGCACGGCCCATGCCACTATGAAATGCTAAAATCACAGAAAGGACAACTTGTAACTTCCTCCTTAGAAAATAAAAAAAGCTTTTATGAGGGCTGGAGCGCTGTTTGGTCAGTTGTCAAAGATCTACACTTACCCTCAGTTGCACAGATCACTGAAAAAAAAAAAACCCAACAAAACAAAAAAGCCACAAAACCCCAATTTCAATGAAATAACCATATACACTTTCAATTTCTATTAAAAAACTTATCCTGAATACTTGAAACTTTTATTACCTTTCATAATACCATTAATTCTATGACAATTAATTATGACAAACTGAACTGAAAATCAATTTTTCCCTTTTATTTTTTGTAAGAAAAAAAGTTGTATTACTCCCTTTGTGATGGTCATATGTTCATATCTTACCATGTATGTGAAAAATTCCCTTTGACTTTCTGCAGTAACTTGGAAATGGTTTCTTTTTTTTGAGAACTTAGTCATCAGATATAAGTATGTTTTCTGCTCCTTCTCAGTCAAACAAGAGGTAAATGGATAGGGGAGTCTGGGCTCTGGAAGAGGATGGTCATTAGCTGGGCTTTTAGTGTCCACCTCAAGTGACTCTGCAGCCTGCAGGCTACAAGTCTGTCTGTTTACTGAAGGGTTTGCCAACGCCTCCACATTTTTCTTTGCCTCTCTGAAAGAAAAGCAACAAATTAATGAATTTGCAGTATTCACATAAATACTAATATTGGTCAGAAACAATAAAGGCAGCTGTGCAAACCTGAACTGCTCTGAGAGACACTGCTATTCCAACTCCTATCTGCACCAGAGGACTGTTCTTATTCTGAAACTTCACCTGTACAATCCAACTAAGCCTTAGTGCCAGTAGCAGGTCTGCAACTGGTTTAAAAACAAAACAAAAAAGGTAGGGTTTTTTTTTGGTTTTTTTTAATGGTGTTAACAAGCTAAATATGAAACACATTCTTTGTTCTGGAAACACACATTATTAACGAAAAGATAATGAATCTCCACATTTCATCAATCACTGATGGCCAGTGTTCAGAAACTGTATGCACTTACAAAGGTTGGACTTGTCAGTCCATTCTGTAAAGGACAATAAAGGAGAAAGGGTTTTTTTAATTAAATCTTTCATTGCAGAAGAAGGAAATTAAAATTACCTCACTGTAACACAGAAATTCCAGATTTCAATGAAGAAATTCTTACAGAGTACACAAATCAAGCATTTAATTTTCTGCTCTAAACAATGTTGGAATCAGTCACCAAAATAGTAGGCTAGGGCAAGAGGCATAGCTGTTCTAACAACAATAAAGAACTAACATAAAGCTCATTCTTAAAATAACTCCAGTAAACAAAGGCCAACCAGCCTAGCCCTGGTCTATTTAAAATAATTGTACTTAAGAGAGAAAATATTTAAGGCTAACAAAATGAACATTAACTGGTGATCTTGGAAAAATCATATTTTTAAGATACTATTTCAGCAGTAGAAAACATCTCAAGTGTCATTCAAACCCAGCAGTATCACATCCACAGTTCTTAATAACACTTCACAGCTGTCTCTGTAAATATGAGAATGTGTCCATCCTTGTGGCACAAACTGGCAAATTTAATTAAGCTGCAGCAGCAACAAGATGCTGACTCAGATATGCCAGTGTAAGAACATCAAGAAATTCTAGCAGCTTAAATTGGCTATATTCAGCACTGAATGAAATGGCAGCACATCAAGATCATTTCAGTATGCACTGCTGTCACAGTCTTCATTGGGGTGCAAACCAAAATAATCTGACAGAGCTTTTCTGTCCATATTTACAGCATTATACTTTATTTGAGATGACGGCTTAAATTTTTCCCCTTCATTATCAACAACCTGCTTTCACTGCTTCTACACCAAGAGAACATACACTTTTGTAAATACCTATTAGAAACTCCCCAAAATTAGCTAATTTCCTCCAGCTTTTACTTTCACACTTGCTTCAACAGGTTTAATTTCTCTTCCTCTTGACTCTGGCCACACAACCCAGTTCCATCAACTTCTGGTTTTTACCAGGTGCAACCTTTCTGGCTCCCTCTGGCTGTAAACCCACTCGAACCACACACAGTTGGCCACTATCCCACCCCAGAAACTCTTCTAAGGAAGAATCCCACAGTAGTATCAGATGTACCAGTAACAAGCTGTGAGGCTGTGCTTGCAGCTTGTTAATTCAAGGGAAGTTGCTCCAATAGGTACGAACCAGAACAGTCTTCTCTAGCTAAAGATGTGGGATGAAGTAATGTGATATAACAGGTAGCCCCCTCAAATGCACACTCTGTCAGTTCTTAAAAACACAGTAAGACCCCTTTTCAACAAACTATTTCCTCACTTACATGGTTTCCCAACCACATTCCTCCAGTGTGAAGGTTCATGCACCAGGCATCGTGTTCACTTCCCTTATCAGCTTAATGACTCCTTAAACCAAGTGTCTAAATACAGTCCTCCAAATGGTCAGATTGAGCAGCATGAGCCACACTTTTCACTATGTGAAATAGGTGTTATTCTACTTCCTCAACCTAAGGTAATATAAAAATGACACTGAAACTACCTGCACCGCCCGTGTTCACACAGCTTCATGTCCTAAAGGACTCAAACCAGACTCCTGCTGCTTTCTGAGGTTTCACAATAGATAAACAGGCCAACAGCTGGCCCAAGGAGTCAGTAACAAAATCCAGTGTGCTAGTCAACATGCCGCTTTCCCCAAAACAGTATGAGGATCCATTAGATGGTAACAAAGAGCACAAAATGATAAAATAATATACCTTTTTGATAAATGCCAGAGTTCAGAGAGGCTCAGAGACAAGGAATATTTTTCATAAAGTTCATGGGAAAAAAATACTTCTTGGCCATTTTTTGCTGGAATATCCCTAATAAAAGAAAATTTAAAAATAAATATATTGCAAAACAAACAAAAATTAAAGGCCACATCTGCCCCTGAGAAACAGTAACAAGAATTAATTTATACAAAAACAAAAGAGGCTACCTACACAGTGGTTCAAGATTTCCTCTTTACAGAAGTTATGTATGTACTAATACCTTATGTTCTTCGATAGTAAAATATGTATTCTTCACAATACAAAGAAATTTCATTAATACAAGATATCAATTTTAGGTATGGGGAGAGAAATTCTGGTAAGAGTTTCACACTTTCACTAACTTTGGGATAAAATCACTGGAATTCTTGAGAAAAACACACCAGCTTTAACTTTTCAAAATGTATTTGTTCTTGTCTTCTACGCTGATATGACCTTCTAGATTGCCTTTTTCTTTTTTCGCATACAGCAGTTCAAGTGAACAGGGTTTATAACAATCCCATCCTTCCTAACCCTTGCGGAAGGTACGAGCAAAGACCTTATTTATGTTTTACGTCACAAACTAATTCCAAGCCACCTCGCCTCTCTAAAGAGGCGAAATACGTATTTGCAGAGCTTTTCGTATTAGTAACACGAACAAGGTCCGTGCCCAGAATCCACGCCGTGGATCTACACGCCCTCACAGCCCCTCAGCGCGGCCTCACAGTCCGGCGCTCCCAGGGGCCGCCCGCGCTCCTCCCGCTCCCACGGCGGGAGCGGCAGGAAATGGCGCACGCGTCCTCGGGGCGGCGCCCGGCGGGGCGGGAACCGAGCCCTCCCCGCTCCCCCCGGGTCGCGGCGCGTTCTGCACCCGGCGAGGCAGCGCAGAGCTGTGTCCGTCGCCCACGCCTCAGGCGCGCCCGGCCAGGCCGCTCGGGGAGAGGGAGACGCGCTCACCATTTCAGCGGCGGCCCCGCGGCCGCCATCTTAACAAAGCCCTCAGGGCAGCAACTTCGCGGTTCCCCGTCTCACCACCGCGCAAGCCTCTCTGGGCACTGACCAATCAGCGCCGGGCGTATGGGTCAGGTGTTCTGAACCAGCCAATGGGGACACGGACTCGAGCAGAGGCTCAGAGTGTGGCCGCCATTTTGTGGCGGGCGGGGCGGATGATGGCGCGGAGCCGAACTACGCGGGGAGATTTGTTCCGTGTTCACAGGCGGGGCCGAGGCGGGGTCTGGATGTCTCGGGCGGCACATCCCGCCCCTCCCTCGGTGTTTCAGAGGTGGGGCCCTGGGCAGAGGGTGGGTGTCTCGGGTGGCTCCTGCCGCTCCGGCAGTGCAGAGGTGGTGGGGGGGCGGCCTGTGACTGAGGAGTTGGAGCCGCGTGTGAGGGCTGGCGCGCCCTTAGAGGCGGCTGCGTTCATCATTTCCTTCTTGTCTTAGCGTTCAGTTTCCCTGACTCACTTCTCATAAGCAGAGCCGCAAAACCTTTTTTAACTAATGGGTAGGCTTCCCAGTGTGGTAAAATGTGGAGTTCGGGTATTCTCAGAACCCATAGGTCTGGTGATGGAAACTCATTTGCTTGTCGTGTTATAAGAAAAGGTGACGCCGGTCACTGCTCTGAAGAGGGGAAATGATGAGGGGGGAGTGTGTACTTGGTGTTCTGTGATTAAAACGGGACACTATTACACAAGTACGTGAGAACCTAGAGGTTATTCAGAATTATTTCTAAACGCAACAGCAAGGCCGTCTTCAGCTTGCTTGTAGATCAGTTTTAAGGACAGTGATTTTAATTTTGCCCTCTTGATTTGTTTATCTTGGAGAAGCAGAAAGGTTTTCTCTCCCACTGGATAGACCCACCCAGAGCCTAGCCGTGGAATTACCCCCTTGTAGGGAGTGATCTTACTTCCCAACCCAGGTATGGTAGCAGTTCTATAGCTGAATTATGAGAACACTTATCTTGGTGAATGTAGCAGCTTAAATCCTACTTCAGGCTGCATCTCTCTAAAACCTGCAATATCTGGTGTTTGTGGGTTTTGTGGGTTTGCTTTGTTTTGTTTTTTTATAAAATAATGCTACTTTCTACTGGTGATCTTGGTACTTTCATGACATAAACATGAACATCAAGAAACAGGTTTCCACTGTGAGGGTGATAAAACCCTGGCACAGGTTGCCCAGGGAGGTTTTGGAGTCAGCATCCTTGGAAATATTCAGAAGCTAGGCATGGTTCTGGGCAACTAGCTCCAGGAAGTCCTGCCTGTGACCTCTGAAGTCCTTGTAACCTTCAGCAATTCTGTAGATCTGTCAGAGGTCAAACCCACCACCTCCTAAGGTAGTTTAGCTTCCCTTATAGGCAGGCACAGGAGGGAGTGTCTTCACTTTGTTTCACTTCAGAAAAATTCCTGTGTTTTATATAGAACTATACGGTTCTTTATAAAGCTGTTCCATAACTTGTATCTTGGTGGTTAGGAACTTTCCTGTGACTGGGAAGACTGGGCAGGAATCATGTCCTGAGGCTAAGAAAATTAAATCTGTGTTTTCAGTGTCTTGACTGCTGTAGACATGGAGCTGCTGTAGAACACATGGCACTGCTTAGTGCTACTGTTCTAAGAGTTATCACACTACTTTTTTTGTAGAGTTAATCTGTAGGTGAAGGCTGCTTCCAGACACAGTGCTTCAAAGATGAATGTTAGAATCTATTTCTGGATCGTGGTCAGGCATATAAATACTGAGCTGTTAAAAGCTCTGTCAAGATGGAGACATTTCTGAGTAGGCGCAGAAGGAGAATTTCCCATGCCTGAAGTCTTAAGACCAGGCATGCTGCTGACACATTCAGGTGTTCCCAAAGTTAGCATAGCAGAGGGGAGCTGCACCTTTGACTTTTGATGCCTAAATTGTTATTAAAGCTTCAATTTTGACATTCAGATTCATCATGACCTGAAGCAGTATTTCTGCTGGGAGCATTCACTGGGAGGGTTTTGTGCAAATTTCTTGTATTTTACACTTGATGTAGTGAATTGCGATTTCAAATAAGACACCTTCAAATAGAGGGAAGCTACATTAACCCACGTTCATTCTGAGAAGGTTTGAAGCTCTTGTTGGTCAAAAGGGGAGCTTAAAAGGTGTTTGGGGGTCATCTTGTTTCCCTGCTGCCAAACAAAATGCGATGTACGTGCTAGAACAGCTCTAATATACATAATAGCCTAATTTTGTATCAGTGCATTCCTTAAGGAATAAGGATAATAAATAAACCATAATTCAGAAAAACAAGGAAGATGTGACTGACAAAAAAATTAAGACAGATTTTTTCCATTAGAAGCTGAAGTTTTATTACAGGATAACAGTACATAAAGCACATCTAAAATCGATGTGTTCAATGCACTTAATAAAGGTAATGTAATATTAAAGGTACAGTTTCTAAGTACAATATAACAACATTCATATTAGAATGAAAATTGGAGTATTTAAAAGACAACATTAAATCTCTTATTTTTACAGTCATATTTACAAAATGAATCAAAATACTTTTTCGGGACCGAGTAAAATAACAAACTTGAATATAAGCAGGCTATCGTGAGTTGGAAAGGTCTATGGAAGGGAAAAGTGAAGTGATTGGGTAAAGATCATTAGCAAAGGTTTAGTACAATACCACTTTAGTATTCCTCTTGATGGCTTACATTTTATTGTGGCTAGAAAAGGAATTTATACATACTGTACACATAACAGACAGCACATATTTACATGTACAGTATAATTGCATTAAACTTGTGTGTATTTACAGAAATTTGAGCATATCACTCAACGAGGTTTTTAAGTCTGTGTGCTTCATCTTCAATTTGATGTATATTTATAATCAGCATTTATTCTGGCATTGGTACATTGAACATTTAGTAGAGGGAGGATAAATGTTAACCAAATGGTTTTGCATAAATATATCAAACTATTAAAACAACAGGGAGAATGTGTTCCTGGCATTACATATAGGTTGGTACGTACAAATTTAAGAGTGAGTCCTTTTCTCTTTGAAAATATCAAAAGGTGACTTAAATCAAGAAGGGAAAACAAAATTCTCATGGCTTATATTTAAATAAGATTGTAGCTTCAAGAGGTTTTTATAATTGTCCTGATAGTGTTTGCAGTTAAACATTCCACTTATGAAAATATACCCATGGTGCAGTAAAGTTTGTTTTTAGGTCAACAGTATGTTTGCTGTTTAAAAAAAATTATTTATATATATATATTCCTTGGATTGAGGGTATAAAAGCAGTGCATGGAAGCCAAGAACCATGGCTTTAAAATTCACTACCTTCTATTATCAAAAAGTGCAGTAAACAGAAACATTGTTATTAATAAATTGTTCAAAAATCTTTGCTAAAGATCTTATAAATTCAGTAATATTACAGAAAAATTCTAATAAATATTTAAAAGGTTAATTACCTCCTTAGTTAGATATTTGATATCCATCAGTTTTTAAGAATGAACATGAAAACAATATCTAGAATGAAAGGAACAGGGGATAGGAATATTTTGAAGGGTATATGACTACGTAAATTAAGGTATACATGAAAAAATAGAAACAAAACCCCCGTACCTGACAAAACGTTGCAAATTCCACTTCTTAATTAACTTTAGTTGCTACTGGCTGTCCTTGGATATGTTTGCATGGTGTATAAAGCATATCCAGGGACTGAATTCAGCCATCCATCTATCATGGCAGATTTACAGAACATTCCTATTTACAGTCACTGGAGTTAAGTGTGTAGGCATGGCCCAGTAACATCTGCAGGCTGAGTGTGTACAGATCCTATTTAAAGTGAGGAGGGAGGAAGGCACCCAGCAGAATAACACTAAAAATTTCCGATTCAACAACAAGATAGACTTCTCCCAACAAGCCAAATAACTACCTCCCTTTCAGACAAACAGCATATTGTAATTATTTTATACTGGCAGATTAGATGTTCTTCTTATTTTTGATACAATACAGGCAGACTGTTTTAGTAACCAAAAGGATAACAAGCTGGACAGAACAATTTTAATAACGTTAATAATTAATAATGTTAATAATGTAGAAAAAAATTCTACATTTGATATCAAGTATCTGTACCGGTGAAGTAATTTTCTCCTTATTAAATATACTATAGAATAATTTATATAATGACACTATGCATTTAAAGAGAAAACCATGTCCCAAATCTTGTACTCTGATACAGGTACTTGTTGGGCATATGTTGGTGTATATATATATATACACAAATATATATATTTATATATAGTTATACTCAGTGAAATTAACAAGACCCAAAGGTGGTATTGTCTAGGAATAAAAGGGGTTTGTTTGTTTTTGTTCACAAAAGTAACTTATCTAGCACCACACATCAGAAAAACACAAAAATAGCACACTCTAGTTCTAAACAGCTATGTCTAAAATAGATTATATAGTAAAACAGATATTATACAGCATAATGTGGTATTTGATAAACAGATAAATATTTGCGCTGTGTAGGCTGTTTATAGTATAATTTTATCTATACAGAATGAAAGCAAAAAGTTAACTGTATAGAGGTGAGCAGAACAACATTAAATATTATGACTCCAAAGCAGAGACAAAGTTAGAATTGAAAGAATAGAGCAAGATAAAATGTTTACAGGCCATTACAAGTCCTTAAATTAGTATTAAAATAAGGAATCAGTTGCTCAAGTTTAAGAAAGCAGTAAACAAGAGATTGCATTTACATGCAGATGTCTAAAACTTGTATTTCTTTTAAATCTATGCACAAAAAGTCATTTGTTTTTATTGCTTGACATTCAGTTATGGCTAGAATATTTTTAACCTTTTTTTTTTTTGTACTTTGGAAACAAGAATATTGTTAAAGGTGCCATAAAAATGGACAACATTGAAAACAGTTTGCAAATAAACCACCTAACACTGCAGTTCTTTATACATTTTAAAAAGCCTTGTCTGGGGTTTGTCATATGTTAAATATATTTAATCTGGGAAAATACATTGTAGCTTGAAGCCTCCCATTGGCCCAAACATCCAATACAAAAACACATCTCCAGAAAAGGAGCAGGCAGACAACACAATTACATATAAAGAAGCAGCCAGTTAATGTCCTAATACTTCAAATAGTAACCACTGTTCTGTAACTTGTTTCTAAATCAATGTAGAAATGAGGAACATTTTGGATTTAAAAAGGTGTACAGTACGTATGCCTTTTTGTGAAATAAAATTCACTGTATTGCTTATGAATTCTCTGCATTATATATAGATAGCATTACAGATTGCAAGTTCCTGTAAAGTTTGTGCATCTATATTAAGACTTCGTGGGGTAATTCAGGGTAGTGTTTCTCAAACTGAAAGTCACAACTGGTTGTTTGAACGCTGCTCAAGTGTTTAGATTATGATCAAAACACCCTGCCAGGCACACCCAGCTCGGTTCTTTGTGAAGTGCAGCTTCTCCAGCGCGGTACAGGGGCTTGTTCTGGCTACAGGAGCGCGCTGGGCAGGGAACTTGGGAGCTGCAGCTCAGCCTCACGGCCTGGAGGAGCTGCAAAGGCCGGCTGGGAACTGCACTTTGCATTTGCTGTGTCTGGAGGGTTCCCAACTACCTGCAGTAGCTTGGTTCCTTCAGTTAGGAAATGCTGCCAGTAATTCCAGCTGATTCACACTCCCTGCCCCAGGAAAGGTAAGTCAATTCCAACACAGAGAGCCCTGTGCAGAAATCTATCTCACAGAGATTGTGCTTTCAGAAACCTTGAGAAACACTAACATATGAACACAAGTATACATAGGACACATGAACACTGAAAACATGCAGATGTTAACAAAGTGTGATGTCACACATGAAGTTGAACAGCTTGATTGTGAAGTTCAGCTTGAAGAAGTTATAAGATTATGAGGGAAGACATACAAGTGAATATTGTGGCAGAAGAAGTGAGCCTATGAGTATTGATCTGAAGCCTTTATCATGTTTTGTTTCTTATTTGGATAGCCTATTTATTGCTATAAAGTTATTGCTATATTCTACCAGTGATAAAGGCAAAAAAAAAAAAACCCCAAACCAAACAGCTACACTGTAGATGGAAAAGGTAGAATACAGCTTCTGTTTAGATGTTAAAATTCTATTTGGTACCTGAATAAAGTTCCAGAGATAGACTGTATATTATGTTACGTATTTTTCCCCTCAAGTCCAGTGACTTAGCATTATGTAGCAAGCCATTATCACAGTACTAGAGTTAAAGCACACACTGCAAGGATTTTAAAAGAAATACTCGTTTACATTTTAAAATTTTTATTTTTGTTGTTGTATTTGGTATCTGTATGCATTTGCCCTCATTTCCACCAAATGATTTACTGACAGGAATATTTAAACAAAAAGAAAGTAAGAGGCTAAAATTCAAATATATTGATGGATGTAACTTTAAAAGTAATAAATATTAGCATTAATAATTTAAAAATAACTCTAATAGTTGTATTTCTCCAGCTAAGGAAAATAAAGATGTTCTGTGCAATCTGAATCCGCTAGCACAGGTAGAATTCCATACAATGAATACTCAAGAGAAAACTGCTTATTATTTTTGGATATTGTATAGTAAGTGCTGTTTCTGGCATTTACATTAATAGGTTTGCCTACATTGAGAAGTTTAGGAATGTCTAGGGAAAAAAATACACGTAATTTGCACAGCTTACACTGTGTAACCTGTTTTGTTCATCAAGTACAGACTGGGGATTGTCTATGCCAATCCAAAAACAGATACTGTAATGCTTGGATCGTCCCACTACGCAGTTAAAACCTCATATAGGTTGTCCATTCTAAGAGTGTTTAATTGATGTGCAAGTATGTAAAGAATAGGGTCCACTGTGAATCAGCAACAGGAATTCTCTTCTGCTGAAGATGCCAGAACACCAACTGATCATACTTGCTAAGTGCTTGTCTGCCTCGAAAAGCCAGTCCAAGCTAAACTTTGACTGTAAGTACGGTTTCCCTATTTATCAAGCAATCTGAAGTAACCAACTGGAAGCCATATACCTGTGAAAAAACCCTCAAAAATACCAGAAAACTGGGGCTTTCTCCAAGCAGACAGATTTGATGGAGAAATCAAATTCACTCTCTTTCCAAAGTAACCAAAGTGTTGAAGTCTTGCTCATTTTGTTTGTAGTTGTTTATTTTCTTTTCTACTTGCATTTTCAAAAGAATGTGAAGCCATAAAACAAAGCTAATTGGGACAGGCTTCCAGCATCCTACAGTTTGGCACTGGGAGACTTCTAAACATTGCTGGGTTTTGGTGACATTGTAAAATCACTTGGAATTGCTGTATTTGATGTACTAGATATGAAAATTTCTTCAGCCTCAGTGTTTCTTTCCAGTCAGGTTTTGGCTTTGCCATGAAACATCTGCAGCAACAACAGACAACATTCGAAGTGTTGTTCTTGTATTCCTGCAGGTCAGTGTTCCCTACTATGTGACTTCATTGCTGAAACCTAACCATGACCTTTTCATTCTTACTATATTTTCACCAACGTATTAATTTTCTTTGACAATAATTTAAATATTAAAAAGCTGTTTTCTATTGCAGAACACTGAATTTCAGCTGGAAAAGCAGTCCTATAATTATAAAAATGTCCAGAGGGTATTGAAATTAATTTCAATAATTTATTTAGTGAGTCAGCATTTATTTTCTAAAATGCAATTGTAAAATCTTTGTGCTATTTGGAGTACTCCTGTTTTGAGCACAATACCAACCAAAAAGCAGCTCTACTGCAAGAGTGAGCAAGAGAATGAGGCACACACAGAGCATTTAGTTAAAAAAAATAGCCAGTTCTCCTGTGCCTGGGGGCGGGGGGAAGGGAAGAAATACTAGCATATTTTTTAAAAAGTAATTTGTTCCACCAGCAGTACTGGCCACCCTGTTGAAGAGTTTTAGAAGATCCCTGAGCACATTAGTTTCTGACTTAGAACCCCAGCTCCAAAATGACAGGGCTTCTCTTGTTGATAACGAGATGGATTGTCATTCACAGTTAATTCAATCATAAGGTGCTTATCTATTTACCCTTTTTTTCACCAATCAGCACAAAGAACTGTCAGAAAATAACTTTTATTTTTCTTTTTTAAATAATAAAAGGGCACAAAATTTAAACAATGTTTTGTGACAGTGGTTTAGGATTATTATCTGGCTGCCCCTCAACAACAGACAAGTGATTCAGTCGACATTCCTTAGCAAAAAAAAAAAAAAAAAAGAAAAAAAGGAAGGAAAAGAAAAAAGGCAAAAAAAAGAAAAATCCTGTACAAATATGTATTTTTCCCTGAGGGATCAAGGTTACACCCGCAAGTGCTCTATGTACATATTGCACTGTAGAGGAATGAAGAACATGTGCAAAAAAAGCAACAATGATTGAAGCTTACTAATCAAACCTTTTAATCATGACTGCTATGTCATCTTGCATTTTGGAATGTCGGAACACAGCTATTCCTTTAATCTAAAATGTAAAAATAAAAAACAAAAAAGAAAGAAAAAGAAAAACGCACCTCTACTATGGCACATTCAATGAAATAAAAAGTTTTCCAAAGACAAATAGACAAATTCCATCAAGAAAATAATACAAAGTTCGTTCGTTTGTGGTTTTTTTTTGTTTTTTAGAAAAATTACATTACTTTCTTTCATTGTTTCACATTACAAAATCTTTTTTTTTTAATGTTTACACAAATCACATTTTATTGCAGGAATATTTCAAGTGCCATCAAACATTTATAGAAGGGTTAAAAAAATAGAAGTCTCTCTAAAGTGGTCCAGACAAGGCTTTGTATAGAATAAATCTTTTTACCACCTTCTATTTTTGACTTAAGTATTTTGAATACATTTTCTTTATTCCATTGACACTTAACAGCCTAGAAGCAGCCGCTCACACGTCCCACGCATACACTCATGTGCGCACACAATGGACTCTCTCACACACACACACAGGTGCACATACACAAATATCTTGGTATTCATACTATAAACTAATAAAGAACAACCAAACTTAAAAACAGCCTCCCTTTTTACCTAATTCCATACATCAAAAAATGCTGGAGGTGATGACATATTAGGGTGGTTCAAATGACAGTATAGTCTAGTAGCTCTTCCTAGAAAGCCAGAAAACATCTCCAGTTTATATAATTCCATATAACTCCCAAGGAAAATATCTTTGCAGACTTTAATGACTAGGTCATCAAAACTTAAAATATTAAGTTCAGCTATCCTAGTGTTTTTATTTGTAGTGAACTGGGCAGATGATGAAAATACTCGTGAATATCCATTGACCTCATGTGTTTTTTAACTGATTGATCATCTGATACCAGGCCACAGTCTCAGGGGTTTTGCAGAGGGCATTTCCTCTGCTGTGCTGGGTTCTTAGATGGCCATCTCTGACCAGCCACTCTGGTGTTATTCTGAGTCTCCTTACATAAAAACCTCCTTGGCAACAGATGTCTTATCAGTAGATCTGCTGTGCTGTATCCCTTTTTTCCTCTCTCCTTGAAGACCAACCCAAAAATTATACTCTGTTGCCAAGTGCCTGTTAACTGTGGCCAGGAAAGCAGAGTTACTTGCGGTATGTTCAGCCTGATTTAACACTGTCCCAGTACACGAGCTCCCACAAACAAAAACAACAGTATTTTCTGGCCTGGAAGATCACTCTCAGCTAAGGCCCTATTTGAAACCTTTATATTGTTATGTATTTTATTAGAAAATGCTCCAAGACTTATATTGTCAATGATTTATGAATGTAAATATGCTAAACGGATTCCAAACAAAGCCACTGGCAGCTAGATGCCTGGTAAAGTACTAATATTCATCATGAAAAGGTAAGAACAGGATGTGGCTGAAAACTAATCCCCAAATACTTTACCTGGTAGTCTACATTGTCAGAAGTAGGAGGTGTATCTCACTAATAAATTACAGGTCTTTCTTCACTATTCATTAGTTGACACTGAGATTAAGTTTAGTTGATCTTTACAGGACTAGCACCTAAGGCTGGTCACATTCAGAAAACATTTGTTAGTTAAAAGGGGTGCTTCAAAAATAGGAACACACATTAGAATGCAAGTACCATATCGTGCCAGTTACTCCAATAAAGTAAACAATGACCCTAGGAAAAGTGTTTCAGTGGGAGTGGAGAGAGCATGTGCTGGGCTGTGAGCTGCCTCTTCAGGAGCAGGCAGGATGGAGCAGGAAAAAGACAGCTCTATGGACTTTTTCCAAAAGCCCTCTCCTGCCTCCATCCCAGTGCTCACAGCACTGCAGGTGCTCCCCTCCCACACTTCAGGGTGTGATGCTCTCCTCTAGCCATCCTTTCAAAGCCTAGAGATGAGTGATAGCTGTAACCTTCCCTGATGTGCTAGACTGGAACAGTTCTAATATGTTTCATAGATAAATGTCTTCGTTTGACCCCAAAGGAAACATGTTCAAATCATAGAATAAACCTGTATTTTGCTAATAAGAACCTGCTGATCTGATTCTCCTTTTTAAAATACTTAGGCTTTGGTGTGTTTCTAGTCACTTGTTACTTCTCAACAATTATATAAGAGATTGTTTACCCTTGGAAGTTAGAGCAGTAGGGCACATTACGTCTCATTCCTTTTCATTTTTCGATGTTCCCAGCTTTTTCTTAGGTACTTCATCAAAACTGCATTTGTGATGGCCTACAAGGCATACAGTTATGCATCTTCATCTCATCCAAACACAATTACACACCTCTGGCTCAAACAGCCACAGTTTGTGATGTCATTTATGTGAATCTGCTTCCTTCAGAACTACATTTACTGCCAGCTTTGCTCAGAGACAGAATTCTTCCTGAAGGGAATGGTAATGAATAACACTGCAAGATTCAGCTTATTGGTTGCTTATGCAATACAGGAATCAGAATTACAGAATGCAGGTTTCTCATATTAATGATTTCCAGGCTTGTACTGAGTACAAACTAATCCTTTCTAGCAACACTGTGCCTTTCATTTCTTAGTCTGTCCCCATCTATCAACTTTAAAGTGCATCTTTTTAAACAAGGAGAGAACAGACTTCTCTGTTCAGCTCCTTGAAACTGAACTGCTGGATACTGGAAGAACAGGGGTCAGTGTGTCTCATCTCACTGAAGTCAAAGACAAACCCAGGGATTTTGATAGGCTACAGCTTGGCATTTGAAGGCATTGTTTACAATATGGAGTACAAAAGTATGTAATGTATAAAAATTACTTTTTGGCAAGCATGTCATACACACATACTTTTACTGTAGATACAGACTTGAATCAATTCTTTCAAACCTGGATTTATGGTGAGCAGAAATACACTATTTAATAGCCTGATTTTCAAAGATGCTGTGTTACTCATTTGTAAATGATCTGTAATTAATTAGTTCAACTCTGACAACAACAACAGTGGAAACTCAGAACCTTTGAAAATGAGGCTTTTGACTTTGAAACATCCAGGTTTGAAAGATTTGAAAATAAAAGTACCTTTGAATTTAACTTCGGTAAAGATTATTTTAATGTAGAAATTGTCATTATTTTCAACTCTTTTAGAAATCTCTAACCATTTCAGGATATGACCAGCCTTTCTTTAAAAGTAACATGGAAAACAGCAGCATAAATACCTCCCAATGTACCAGTACCTGCCAAACCTTTTTCAGTTAAACTTGAATTTCTGGTGCACATGCAACACAACAATGAACACGCTAGCATTTAATTTAAAGAAAAAGGTGCAAAATGAAAGTGCCTTATCAATTCAACAAGAAAAGCTATACCAGTAACTACATTTTATATTAATTAAAACAATATATAAACAATATCTCTTTTGCTATATATAGTCTTCATGCCCATTTACCCTGTAATATATTATAATGCTATTGTTGCTATTGCTATGGACCCTTTTCATGCCGTTCTGTCTACTGGCAAACAGTGGTAGGTGAGAAAAAATCGTCCTTCATGAAACAATGAGCAAGTTGTGCAAACTGATGCTGAAATCTCTGCAATGCACACCAGTCGCTGATTACTAGGTGGACTCTGTTCTGACCAACAAATTGATTGTTCTGTCAAAAGTCTGGGCAGTGAACTACAGGAGAAAACAACCTTCTGACATTAGAACCCTCAGTCTGTGTAAACAGAGGTCAAGGATTGAGAAGTTGAGACAGAAAAAGGGTCCATATTTGTAGGCATAATGGAAATCATATGCATGAGAAAAACAAGTTCAACTTTGTTTCATTGTTTCCCATCCTTCGCCTGACCCCGACCGCCAAGAGATGTGCAGTGTGTTGGCTCCCTAGGTCTGTTCAGGGCCATATAAAGTGTCTTGGTTTTCTTTCTTTTTTTTTTTTTCCTTTTTTTTTCCTTTCTTTTGTTTTAATGTTTGTACTTCAGACATTCTAGAAGTGCTTAGGTGATACGTTTACCCATCAATTTGCATTGCTGGCTCAAACTCTGAAGTGAACAACTCCTTGTAAAGTGGAGGAAAATGAAGTCGCACAATGTCTGGGTATATTGCTTTAAATGCCATAAGCTTTTCTGTATGTCGTCCACACAGTGCTCTTAAAGTAGACACTTTGCATATTAACTGTAAAAAAATGAACACAAGTCATATGGTCATACATGGAACCAGGCCTCCCAATCTTGCTGAAAGGATAAAAGCTCTCCCAAACCAAATTATTTACTTAACAAGGACATTTCAGATGCACAGTCATGGGTATTTGCTAAAAGTATTTAAGTAATCGACTCAGAGCTATTTGTGAAGTAATCTTTTTTAAGTTCTTAGGAAAATGTAGCATTAGATTTCCTCACTGGATTGATAAACAAGTATTTCAGGGCTGGATCTTCATCCATTAAATTATCCTCTTGGAAGAAGGCAATCCCAACTGCTTTTAAACCCACTGTGAATATTATGGAGGGAACTGGCAATGCAATAGATTAGACTTATTTACCTTAAGCCAAATAAGGTAAAAAAATATGTATTTCAAAAATATCATGAGGTTACTCCCTGAAGTTACAAAGTAAAGTGTTTGTACCAAAGCATATGGAAGACTTTCTTCCAACAAAGGTATCCCAAGAATACACTGAGACAAAATTACATGAGCTAGGATTTGAAATTAAGAAAATCTGCAGAGCCCAGGCTGGACCATCCTGCTTCTATTGTAACTAATTCTGTGGTATGAAGCAAAGCATAAGCTTTTTGGCTGTGCAGAGGTGTAAAAGGAACTACCTCTGCAAGATAAAAGTGAAGTGCCTATCTTTCACCAGTTCTTCAGATTTACTTCTTGTAACGTCACACCAGTTTCCCATTTCTGAGAAATTATATGAAGATACTTTAGTATAACAGTAGGTAGTGCTTCTTTTTCCCAGGTATCAGTATTTGGAAGAACTGAGAAAAAGGCTGTGTGGTGAACTCCTCATAGAAGTCTGAAAAACAAGTTTAGTCTGTGTGTTGCATGTTACAGCAACCTCATTGTCATGCAGGCAGAGATTCCACAAATACTAAAGCATGCATGTTGCAGCACGGAAATAGCATTCTGTGTGGCAGGAGTGTCGTGCAGGAGAACTATGATGAAAACCTTCATCACTTTTCATAAAGTTCCACATAAAAATACTCCCTTTCAGACCATTATCAACCTTGTTCCCTAGTACACCATCATTTCACTTCTTCTAGGTTTAAGTAAATAGGTTCAGCTGAGCAGCTTGATTTTGAACAAAGAATTCTGGATTTATAAATAAATTAACTATGTATGAGCTTTTACCCTGTAATCAAGGCAGTGTTCAGGTGAAGCCACTCCTTCACAGTCCTGTGACATGGCACAGGATGACTCTTACCTTTGTTAGAATTCCATCTTCTCGGTGGTTCTTCTGTAGGACATGCTGAAGTGCTAGCTGGATCTTCTGTTGGAGTTTCTCAATTTTTACTTTCTCCTGAAGCCATGAGCGATCTGAATATAAATGGGAGTTGAAACTTCTAGTAATGACACATGGATCACAGTGCACCAGGAAAGTACTAAGTCTGTTACAGATTAATTTTTCCTGTTTCCACTTGTTATATACTTTTTGTATAGAAAATGGGTTTCAAAATAAATAGGTTTTGAAATACATTTATTACATGCACTTAAGGTTACTTTTATGAAGCCCTTATGTAGGAGAATGCAATGCATCTGAGTAAGATCTACTATTCATTTGCTAAGAAAATCTGTAAAATGCAGGGTGTTTACAAAGTGAAGCTGGCAACATTTTACTGGAAAATTAATAGATCACATAGTGAACAAATAGTTGGAGAGGATCTTCTTGCTACAATCTTACAGAACTTAGAGAAAACCAATGGAACTTACAGCGACTTACAGAAAAATCAGATGCAAAGATTCTGCTATTAAAAAAAAAAGCAGCTAAACTTCCTGACAGAAAAGCAGTATTAGCTGGACACTCCTGGTGTGACAGAACCGTAGGGTTGTGTGGCTTGCTAAGACACACTTCCTGTCTGGCCAACAGCATGAGAATGTATTTATGATAGACTCATTAAACCCACCATTGCTAACAGAAGTTTTCATCACCACTCCTGAGTCCACTAAGCTGCAGTCTGAACTCACAGTTTCCTTCCTCAGGTGTCAGGCCAGGCACAAACCCCAGTACCTTGTTCCACCTGACCTAAGAAGCCTTTCCAGGACCTGGAGCACTCTGCACATTCACCTGTGATTATTAACTTATTTTAGTCATGGACATGGCAGACCCAGGCTGACTTTTGGGGTGACTTGGATGGTCTGGCACCATAATTCCCAAGTGTCCCCAGTCACACTAAAACGGTAATGCTGGAAGTTTTCTGTTATGCTGCAGCTGCAAGCTCACACACATGGAAAACTGATTATGGGAGTTCAGTAACTGCCTGTCTCACCAGGATTGGCTCACAGTTCTCACTCAAATGCATTTAAACCTTTACAAAGAAGCTGAGTCCTCAACAAGGTGAAAGAAACAAGGAAAATAAGGGTTTAGATTAGGATTTACAATTTAAGAAATTGGTTCCTAAATTCACAGTTTTAATGTGTTTATTACAGTAAGAAATTGGGTGGGGAGACACTCAAAAAAATATTTCCACAATGCCTGATAATTGTAACGTTATCATTAAAAAGGCTTCAAAATAAAAACAACCCCTACCAAATAAATCAAGAGGAAACCAACATCTCTTACCTGCTGACATTAAAACAAATGCAGAGAACAAAGCTATCTCATCTTCTGTCAGGTGCATAGAACATAAACTTTTTCCAAATTCAAACACAAAGCTAATGAAGTCTTCACAACCTGCCAAAAAGAAGGAAAGCTCTTGTTACATTGTTTAAAACTACTTCAGCACTACAGAGTTGATGATTTATTCTGATGGAGATGAGAAATAGATAGAAAACACTTCATATGTGGTCTTCTCCTTAAGGACGGTGAAGTGATGGCAGTGAGATCTCACTCATCCTTGAGGCTATATTACTCCACTTCCACAGGGTCCCACATCCTGGCAGCCAAGATTCTGAAGGTTTTGCACACTGTATCTTTTTTACATTGGGTTCTTGTGAGGTAAATATGGATAAATCTCAAGCCATTTATTTTCAAGTTCAAAATTGTTTTATCTTTGTTCTTGTTCTAAACGGAACTTCGTCATGTCACTGTGGACTGAAGGCTCGAAATGTGGACTTAAGAAATTCTGATTTTAAGATTATTGAGCACACAGAGTGGGGGAAGAGAAAGGCACACAAGGGACATGCAGGAAGCAAAGGGAGAAGCCAAGGTCTGACTGAACATGGCTCATGCAGAAGAGGAACTCTGTCTCCTTCCATCCGTTCTCTTGCTCACACAGGTGTTATTCAGGTTACTGCTGCTGTCACACATGCAGGTACAGTCCTTCAAGTGAGCCCTGCTCACAACCTGAGAGACAAGGGTTTTCCTTAGCCTCTCCAGCCTAAACATCTGGATAGAGCTGGTAACAGATCCAACTTATATTTCCTTAGAACCCAGAATGGTTTGTACTCTGACCTTTTACCTTGAAGTGTTTTAGAAAGAATTTAGAGAATACTTCAGTAATTGTCCATCATTCTTCACTGATGTATTTTCACTGCCTCCAAAGTGGCTTACAGCCCAAATCTACACTCAGTGAAGACGTCCTTTTAAAATTAGCAAAAATACATGGGAAAAATTTTCAAAATTGTATGTAGTTTAATTTAAAAAAATGATTTACAGTATTTTACCAGCAAATAACCAGACTTAGCAGATTTTAAAACACCATTAACATCTTCAAAGCAGTAAATTCCAAATTAGCTTCTAATTTGCTTGCTGCCTTTTCCAACAAGATATATGAAATGTTACATTGGATATGAAATCTGGGCTTCTTTTCTCAACAAGTGAGTCCAAACTGCTCTGCCCTAATCAAAATGCTGAACTTCAGCACCAACAGTCCTTTACTGCACAGAGTTAATCTGTTTTACCTCCTGAAATCAGCTTGGCCTCAAACAGAGCCAGCGTGACAGCTTACAAAACAGCAGTTTGAGCTCCAGAACTCTTTTATTTGACTACTGTAGATTGATTTTTCAAAGCAGCTGTTTGCCCTTGCTTTTCAACATTATTATTTTTATTATGTTTTTGGGGTTTTTTTAATTTTTATTTTTTTTTATCTTTTTAAAGACACAACACTACACATTTCCTTACCTAAGGACTTGAAAACCTCTGGGCTAGCATACTTGCCATCAAAGTAGACTGTGTTGTTCTGGGAGTCAAAGGCACGGCACATTCTGATGAACACAACCTCTAAAGACCCTAAAATAAAAACAATGTATGTTTGACTATGGAAGTTGAGACTTCAGTTGCAAAGAGCAAGTAAGGATTAATACTAATGCTCTGCATTCATTATCAGTTTAGTAGAGTAGTAAGTTGCTGTGGTGTAACAGAGTGTAGCTTGGTTTGCTGGTAGAATTAAAAGACCCCTTTAGAAGTTTTTGCTAAAGCAACTTACTTAATGCTAATAAGCTCTAGTAATTTTTTAGAGTAATGAAGTCTCTGAAGCCAAAGCAGCTCATTTAAATTTATGTTCACCAAGCCTTAACAACTTGGTCCAGTATTTGTAACGTGAATTACTTCTACAATATCTTGCATAGAACAATCTGGATTTTTACCCTGAAATATTCACTATTAGCAACAACAACAAAAAAATTAACCCAATTTTAACATCTTAACACACTCATTGCTCCCTTTGTCCATAATGAAAATTTAATAGATAGACTTGAACTGCTTCTCCCCAAAATAACTAAGATGATGTTACTTCAAAGACAGACAATTTGAAAGGTTTTACTTTAATTTTAAATTATCATTTTATGGTATATGAATATATGTGTATGCAACTGCTGCATGTAACAGGTAACACCTTCCTCAGGCAAAACTAATAGAAGCAGACCTTAAAACTGACCCACATACCTGCTTTTAAAAGCACAATTTGATCATTTTGACACAGTTCCATAAAGCCATCAATGCGTTTGGCAAATTCCACTACATACTGTATAGCTTCTGTTATTTTGACTGCGCATAACTGCCACATTACCTCCCTTTGCTGTTTGAGAGAGAAGAGAGATTCAAAAATTACTAACCAAGCTTTGGAAAGCTCAATGCAGAAAGTAAAACTGAGCTAAAAAAACAAACAACAAAATGGAGTGAGTTCTCTCCAACACTCTTGGCTACAGTCTGCTTATAAGACAAGGGGAATTGACCTCCAAACCAGAGCCTCGTATGGATGAGTGACAATGCAACCATGGAAGACTTCTTCAGTCATATCAGAAGAGATCTAGCTTGGAGCACTTTTATTTCATAAGCCAAAAGTGTCAAAGTGTAATGACTTCGGTCATTTCGGTGGGAATTTTATTCCCTGCGTGAAAATAAAATGCCAATTCACACCAGCAAGGCATGATCATATTTTTCCTATCAGCTTCTCTATTTTGTACTGAATGCAAATTATCAACCCAGCTCATCTTCAGAAGGATACATATAAAGATGTTCATATATGAAGATCATCTTGATAACAACATAAAGAAGGCATGCAAGCAGTGAGTTTTCCCAGTGTTGATAATAATGAAGAATGAAATCACTGAAAGTAGAAAAAACTATTCTCCTAAAGGTTAAATGTTTTTCTGTGGAAATGAAAAATATGTTCAAAGAACAGTGTGCTTTAGCAGTGCTTCCCAAGGCCATTTTCCAAAAGTAGCCAATTGGTAGTAGCTTGTAGATGGAAGGCATGTTGGAAGTAACATTGATTAGATCTTACAATACCCTGGTGGCACAGCAGCGCTGTGCTGCTGCTCCACAGGTAAAACCCAAACACCGAGGGACAACTGGAGCATGAATCAGGATTACAGGAAACCCAGAAGGCTGGAAATCTGATAGAGCTCTGTTTATAAACTCAAACTGAAACACAGCATGCAACATCACAAACTAGGTGGCCTTGGCTTTTCTTGTTGTTGATCCAGGGCATTACAAATTAAGAGAATAAAATAACATGCCAAATAGGATTGAAAAATTCCAATTATTTCCTATACTTCTTTATCGGAGACAGATTTCAGGAGAATGTCTTTGCCTTTTCCTATACCTGTAAAAATCACAAATGCAAAGGATATCCTTTCCACCTTGCTGCTTTTGATTCTTTGGATTATTTTTTTTTTTAAAACACACAGAAATATACATTCCTGATAGTAAGGAGAAAGCAGTGAAAAAGTGAATTTTGCAGTGCGTTATGGAAATACCATGCTTTAAAGAAACCATGCCATAGCTTGGCATGCTTTTATACCTTGTTCTGATAGTTCTCAATTTCTTCCTGCAGAAAAGTTTGCCATGTTATCTGCTGTAACTCCTCTCTCAAGTACTGGCAAGTTTCCATGTGTGACTTGGAAATATTCTGTGCAAGATGTTCTAAAAGAAAGAGCAGAAAGCGACACGCGTTATAAATGCAAAGCTATACCTTCAGACACGAGAAAAGCTCGTATATTTCAGCTGAACAGGAGAAGGGGAGAGGGTGAGCCGAGAGAGAAAACTGCTTTAGGCCGAGTCTCCTTGGAAGCGGCTCCGGGAAGAGCGGCCGTGGCCGCAGCCGCCGGCAGAGGGCGAGCGCGCAGCGCTGGGGAACGGCAGCAAAGCGGGGACGGGGGGACACGGAACCCTCCCGGGCACATCCCACACTCGGGCTCGGAGACACACCGCGGACTACGGCCGCAGCAAACCGCGGGCAGAAGCGGGGTGATGGACACCCCTCGAGCGAGGGCACACAGCTGTCCGTGGACGCTGCCAAGGACAGGACAGAGCGGCACTGCCAGCCAGGCACAGCTGCCAGTGCCGACGCTTCCCAATAGAGAAATAGTTACCAACTATCTAGCGGGCTCCTAAACAGGACTCTCGTCCCATGAAGCTGCCTGCTACCTTTTTTCTTTTCCTACTCTCATATCATTAGAAATGCGTCAGGAAAATCTATTAGAGAATCCAGATGATTAAGATAACACACTAAAAATCACAAACGCTAGGGTTTTTTTTCCTTCAGCTTTAGAGTAGTCTTCTAGTTTACTGCACATGCTTTAGAATTTCCATACAATGTTTTAATTCCAAATAAAATTATTTTCTCCTGCTATATTTGATTAAAAGACACATAAGGCAGATTTACATATATTAATAAAACTTGGTTCCAAAAAATGTTTAGGAACACTTTCAAAAGTCTGAATAGAATTTAGATACCTGAGTTCCACTTTTATTTAACTTCCTCTTTCCTACCCTGACCCTTCAGGTGGGCATTTTCTCCTATTTTAGCACAAGTAGAGGCCTGGGGACTTGTCTCACACAACTCTGCTTGTTAGGCTGCTGAAAATGAAGGCTCAAACCAAACAGGAATGGTGGTCACCACACCATGGAGATATTCTGAGGGACTGCAGCACTGGGTCTTCTGTCAAACTGAAACTGGCTTTGTTTGGTAATGATCAAACCCAGCTCTTCACAAACTGAACTGCTGGACCAATCAGACTGTCAGTAGCTTGATTAAGATACTACCGGAAAAGTCTTTAATGTACAGATGAGGTAAAATCAGATTATATGTACTACCTGAACAATCAGTAAGGTGGAATGCAACATAATTTATACTTTGTCACCATAGCTTTGATGTATTTAGGAGCAATTTTTTTTTACAAGTGTGTAGTTAAAACACTTGTTTTTGGTAGCAGCAGCTGACTGCATGATCCCTGTGCCCTTGCAGGATACAGGAGGTGAAATATTCCCATGCTATTAAAAAAGCTCCGCCTCACTTCAGGACTGTATTTCAGCACACACCTAAATATTTTCATTGAACAGCCACACCTTTCTAAATTGAAACCTTTGTCTGGCAGACAAACATTCTTCAAACATTGTTCAGTAATGTCAGTGCTGGGCGCCCAAATCATGCTGTGCAGGTTTAAACGAAGCACTATGTAAGTAAGGGTAAGCAACAGGACAAACATAGCTTAGGCCAGTGTTCCAAGCCCAACACCAGGCCTACAAGGGAAAACCCTCTTTTTTTTTTTTTTCCCCCTGTGGGTTTAATGTAGATCTTTTTAATACTTTCCATAAGAAAATTAGCAATCATTTCACTAAGACAAAGCCAGTAGCATTGCCTTTGTCCTGACATTTTCTTCTTTTTACCTATCTGAAATTATTTGAACTGAAGCCAGACACAATATTTTGGCAATAATTTGTCAGGACAAATTGTATTGCAGAGAACAGCATTCTGCAACATAAGGACATTAGAAAGCAAGCTTCTTGTGACTTCCTCTCTGCAAAACTTCTCAAAAAAACCAAAATAAACCAAACAAAATTTTCATGTGGAATACCTGATTTTTTAACTATTTTTAGGTTTTCATAATAAAATAATTAGAAAAAATGTAGCTTGAGTAAGTTTTAAGAATCAGTTTTAAATGCCTGGCTGCTTACATAAGTAAGGGAATCATGAAACCACTTCTTTGATGTCCTGTTCCACTTTGTTTACAACCAGTTCACACAGCACACTCTTAACTCCAGTCTCACCTGTTGACAAGTCATACTTGAGGAATTCAGCACTAGTGTAATCATTAAGGGAAGAGTTTAAAGTAAAATGTGCTAATTAATGTGGTTACTATAAGGCTCTTAGAGAAATTATCGAAACTTGCTGCATTCAAAAATGGCCTTCCGTATCTGGGGCCAGATCCTCTTCAACAAGTGACAAGAACTGCCCCCAGATTAGCCTGGTACTTTTCTCAGGTAAAGAGCAGAAGAAAATCAGCCTCGTCACTTTTTGTTAGAAGTAACAGTATTGAGGTAACGAAAAAGGAGATAAAATTGTTAAAAAATAATCTGCAAATAAAGAAATGACCTATCTGTTTTCTCAGCACAAAAGATTAGCTTCTTAATCGGTATTCCAAGGGTTCTATTGCAAGGACTGAAAGCAAAAGCAACACTGGTAGAGCTGATGAACCACAGTCCCCTGGGAGCTTTAGTCCAGAGCAGTAAGGAGTCCCCCGTGTGTCTGGAATTCAGGGTATTTACTGTGCACTTCACACAAGAACGCCACACACCGTACATGCCCACAGTTCTACTGAAGCAGCATTCTCACTATCACCTGGCTACACGTGTCACTTTAATCCAAAGGGTACTGTTAAGACAATTACAATGGAAGCTTTTCTCTCTCATTACCTAATTCTGCCATGGACACAGTTGGAGAGGTCTCCCCATTTGTAAAAGAACAATAAGGGAAGAAGCCCGATGCTGGTGTGTAGTCACATATTGGTTCTGGTTTGATTCCATTAATATCAAGACCCGACTGATCTGGAGAAGGTTGTATGTCTAAGTAGAAGCTGCTAACTGCAGAGTCTGCTTTGCTACCTTCAGGGGTATGCCCATCAATGTAATTACTGAGGTCGTCATGTAGCTCTGTTAACCCATTGGTGGTGATATTGTATGTTGGTGTGAGCGGTTCTGCCTCTCCTGGCTGCTGCTGGTGATCCCGCTGCTGCTGCTGCATTCGGTGTTTCTGCACCTCGGCGTACAGGCTGTCCCTCTGCTTTTTTGACATTCGACCAAACTTTACAGCTGAAATAGAGACACACAAGAGATTACATCTCTACATGTCCATCACCACCCTTTAATTGTGGGTCTAAACACTACATGGAAGGATACAGCACAAATCCCCAAATCTGCAGGATGCACACCTACGAAACGCTTCTCAGTTACAGGTACACAGCTGCAGCACCTGCTCTTTAAAAGACTGTCTTCACATGCCACTGAAATGGACCATTAGAAGTCACTGGTTTAGCTTAATTCATTAACTTTCCACTTCTGTACTGGAAAGATTTTATCTTGTATGTCCACTGAGGTTGACAGGTGCACCTCTTCAGCATTCAAGCCCTACCTAAAAACGTAAAAGCTAAACCAGAACACATTGGCCTGAGACAACTGTTCAGTTCCAGTTGAGCTGTACATCCACACTGCACAGTGAACCCAGAGTGTGGTGCCAAAATTTGTGGTCTATCTCAGTGTATCAACAGCAAGCTTTACTGGGATTGGGACCAAAGCATGTGGGAAGAACCACCAAACCTGCCTTCAGCACCTCGGAGACAAACAAAAATACTTAGTAGATGAGTAATTGTTAAACCTGTGTGTGTGTGCACTCAAGTGCGTGTGGCATCTCCACAACATTACTATGACTTTGAGGAGGTAAGCCACCAGCAACTGGTTTGCAGCATCCAGGGAATTCCCAAGGATGCAGCACGGGATTTTAAGGACCTTAGCAGCTGTAAAATCTTCATCCTTTAGAAAGGTGACTACTGCCTTCTGCTTTTCTACAGGAAAGCAGATGTGTTGGAGGAACTAGTCATTACATGATCAACTCTTTCAGGTTTTTAGTCTCATGGCCAATAAAAAAAAGAAAAAAAAGACAATTTAATTCAAGAAGTAAATGCCATCTGAAAACAATCTCCTTGGTCGGGCCTCATGTACCTAGAGTAACGTGTATGTATTTGTAGAAGATGCAGTGCTGCTGTCACTGCATCAGAGGAAAAGACTGAGTCAGGTCTTCAAATGGGTAAGTGGTGGCAGCTCCATTCCATCTGTGGGGGAGGCATGCAAATCTCAGCTGCAAAGCCAGTTCTGACTGAATTACATAAGCAACTGTTTGGCAAAGGCAGGCTTTCGTCACTACTCAAGCTGCAATTTTGGGCTTAATATTAACAGCACTGGAATGTCTTTCCTTTAGAAGTCTATCATTGAAAAAATACTGCATTATTTTTTTCTTTGCGTTTTTCCCATTATTCATTATATAAATATTTAACTTCTGTCAATACTGTGAAGCAGCTCTGATCTGTACCCATGCAGCAGGCAGTGCTTCTTGCAACTACAGGAGGTCACTTAAGTTGGAATGAATATACAGAGGCAGTATTCACATGAGACTGAAAAACTGCATCCTAAGAAATGACCAGAGACAAAGCTCTTAACTAGGAACTGTAATAGGTAAGTAGGAAAAAAGAGAAATCCTAGAACTTTGTATATGATTTAGATACATTTGAGTACATAGCAACATCTAAAAACATACAGCATGTAACATAGAAAAATAAATAGCAACATTTAAAACTCACTTGATGAGCGAGTTCAACTATCACCCAATGCACAATTAGCACATAAATGCTATGTTTTTTGGTTGCCCATACATCATACTACACCTTACGTTAGTTTTTTGCAGCTAGGCCCCAAGTTAGCAGCGCTTACCATCCCGAGACATCCCCACAGCAAGGCATTTCTGTAAGCGACAGTGTTGGCAGCGGTTCCGACTGGTCCGGTCGATCAGACAGTTCTTCTGCCGAGGACACGAGTACGTGGCATTGCTCTGCTGACTCCTTCTGAAAAAGCCCTGGGATGCAATGGCAAAATACACGTCAAGAAGCTGCTGACTGATGGAACAAATAAAGACTCCGAAAGGTAGCATACTTAGCAGAAAAGAAGTTCAAGTGCTCTATAGTCAACTAAAGGAAGTTAAAACTAAAGGTTTTGTTGGTTTTTTCTCTCTTAGAAAAAAACCCCCAGTAACTAGCAAGAAACAGTTCATTAAAAAAGCATTGTAACACATAAAGAAATTACACTTTTTATTCACTGGTTTTACAGATCCCATATTACATATGGTACACCAGCTCTTACAAAATGAGACAAAACTAATTATAGGCTTTGATTTCCTATCTTTCCTGGGATGGCACAGTCGTCCAAAATAGGCAGGATTCAACAGCTACCACCCTGTTCTGCTCTCTGGAGTGACAGTAGCAGGCTCTGATGTTCAGCCTCACCAGTGTGTATGTGTTTAAAAATATACAGCAAGATGCTGAACAGCTTCTCCTACAAAAAGCAATTTCTTAACATGTTGTTTAAAAACACAGGATGATTAAGTTTGTTAAAGACCTCTGAGATCATCAAATCCAAGCGTTACCCCAGCACCACTCTGTTCACCACTAAACCCCAGGTGCCACATCCACATGCCTTTTTGAACACTTCCAGGGATCGTGATTCCACCATTTCCATGGATAGCCTATTCCAATGCCTGCCCACCCTTTCAGTGAAGAATTTTTTCCTAATATCCAATTGAAACTTGCCCTGCCACAGCATGGGGCCATTTCCTTTTGTTCTGTTGCTGGCTCCATGGCAGAAGAGCCTGACCCCCGTCTGGCTCCATCTTCCTGTCAGGGAGCTGTAGAAAGCAAGAAGGTCACACCTGAGCCTCCTATTCTCCAGATTAAACAATCTCAGCACCTTCAGCTGTTCCTTATCAGACTTAAAACCAGGAACAGATCTGTGCTCCACACCCTTTCCTGCTCTGCTGCCCCTCTCTGGACACACTCTGGCCCCTCAATGTCTTGCTTGTCAGGAGGGGCCCAAAACCAGACACAGCACTTGAGGTGCCTCACTAGTGCCCAGGACAGAGGGATGGTCACTGCACTGGTGCTGCTGTCACCTGTTGCTGCTATTGTGTGAGTTAGTTTGATGCTGACAGCCCAGGTTTTGTTCAATTCTGTGCAAGATTTAGATTCTTACGGAGGGGCAAAGCTAAAACACATTTTATGCATGATTTCTTTCCTGAGTAACCCCGTCTCCAAAGAAAGCTGGAGCTGGAAGGTTACGCTACAACTTTGTCTCCTCCAAGGGTGCACGTCATTAACTGCTCTGCAGCTGTTTGCTTTGAAGTCCATTTCATCCTTTTGCCACGGACTGCCCAAACATAAGCTGATGTATGTGTAATACCTACTTCACAAGGATTCTGCAAAGATGTAGTCATTCTAAAGAGGCATTTGAGAGCAGTGAGCACACTATTTTAGTTTTACATTGCCACATAATGGATTAATTAACAGTGCTGCAAAGTAAAATAGTTCCTTGGAAAGGCTGGGCACCTTTTAATTAAAGCTGGACTTTTACCAATTTGTTATTTACTCAGAGGTTTCATGCTGGATGGAGTCCCTCAGCACACGCACAGATACTTGGTGAAGCAAACAAAGGAAGGACTTCTGCATGACAATTCTCGAGTAGTCAAGTACTTCCTGTCAAACTGCCTGCAGACAGAAACATGGCAAAACACAGACAAAGCCCCTGCTCCATCTTAGCAGGAGGGAACCAGTCTTTGTTGACTACACCCCTTTTATTAAAGCTTTACTGGGGGAAACATGGAATATAAAAAAAAAAAAGAAACTGAAGATGCTGTCTTTAATCCTGTTTTCCTGTACATAATTTCTTACCCTTTTTTTTCCTGGTCTTTGTTTCTATATGACTGAACTTTCAAGCAGTTGTTTCATGTTTGTCAATAGTGAGATAATTGTCACTGAGACTGAAAGTATTGCACATATTGAGCTCCAACTGAATGCATTTCACCCTACAGAAAACCTGAAATACTGTGGGAATGTCTACTATTCCAACATCACAACTGATCCCTCTAGAGAAACCAACTCTTGGTTAAGTAGAAAGATTCATTTCCAGTTCTGGGAGCACCATCAGTGGAGCCTGTCACTCTATGCAAGTACAAGTGTGCTCACCACTACACTCCAAGTGCAATACCATTCACCAGAAAAACAGGATTAGGGACTGAGCTGACCAGTGACCGGTCAAGGTTCTGCATCAGTCCCTGAAAATTTCAGCTCTCCAAACACTTTTCTAGTTACACTGAATGACATTCTCACACACAAGCTGCATGAAACCCTCTGCCACCTCTGAGATTCTGGAAATGAGTCTAAACAATATGTGAAACTAACATGTCCCAATAACCTCAAGGATCCATATGTCTTCCTTTAGCTGAGATATATATACATACACTAATTCTGAATTGCCACTTGGCATATTTTATTAAGAATAGCCTTGTCAAGCTGAGGATTATTTTTAGTATTATAATGGAGAAAATACTGGCCTTTTTCCTTTTCCAGATTTTCCCTAGAGACACAGCTGCTCAATACATTTTAGTGTACAATATGTCACTAAGTTATAGCTGGAAGCTAAATTTCCAGTAGAGCAGAAATGCCTGAACCCAGGCCTTTAAAAGCACTTGCACTTTCCAAACCAGAGAAACAGCAAAGTGTTTTTAAAAACAAACCCAAGAAAACATCAGCAATAGCTAAAGAAAGACACCTTGCCACAAACTTCAAAAACTGATCTAAACTTGTCCGGAGCTCAGAAACACAGGTATCTGAGATTTGGGAGTGAATTGACAATGAAGCTCAAGTGAGGATTTCCTGTTCTATGGTGCTGTCATTTTACTTGTGAGTTTTGTAAGCTTTTCGAGGTTCTTGAGGTTTCACATCACTTTAAGGCACATGGGAAAGCCCCTATTATAGGAGCCTTCTGCAAGCACCTACAGTTTCTTTCTAGGTATTCTTTATTAAAAGGAGAAACACTCTATTTATTCTGTTGTTCTATTCCCTCGCTTTTGCTAGAGGCATGGAGCTGGCTATAATTTTTCCACCGGGAAGGAGGAGGTGGATGCATGCTTGGTACACGTGTATACATTCAAGCCTTATGCAAGCCAGCCTGGGCCACATGCTTTTTATTGCAGGCATGTTTACAGCCATTATTTCATGTGACCTGATGGGCCCAGGCAGAGCCACCCCTCCTGATCAAGCACAGAGACAAAGCTGGTGCTCCACCGAAGGAGCCCCGGTGCCAGAGCACTTTGGCCTGTGGCACACTTGGGCTGAGTCTCAGCCCCTCCTGGTGTCAGCACAAAGATCCAGCCCCAGTCAGTGAGCTCTGCTCATTCCCCTTCCTGCAGATGGATCCACTTGGTGCCAGAAGAAGAGCAGAGCTCACTACAAGCCACAGCTTAGTCCCTGCATTTCAGACTCCTATTTATACACAACACGGTCTATGGGTTTTCACTCGCTGCCACAAAATCAGGTTTGGGAAAAAAACAGCACAAGAACTTTTCATCTGCAAGTCAGCTGGAATAACAACTTATTAAAAAAGGACTTTGAAATGTAAATAGCAGTTTTAGCGAAGTCTATTAATAATGTCAGTGACTCCTCTGCTCAGCATTGGAGATGTTGGTGTCTGAGCTGGCTCCTGAGCCAGCTGTGCTTCCCTCGTATCCCAAATGGCACCGCACAGGCTCCCTCCCCACTGCGCATGGGCTGAAACGCTGAGCTCATGTTTGGTCTTTTGACAAATTTTCATTTAATGAATTGATTCCTACAGTTCATTAACATACCCACTTCCACTTCTGTATACACATATGTCTTAATTAGCTGCTCATTGGCTGTTTAATTACAAGAAAACAGCTGACAGCTGCCTTGCTGCATCCTAATGGCAGACGTTTTGGAATGACTGTATGCGAGCCTGTGACAACAAAGGCTTATTCATAATCCCATGATTTATGGCTAATACTTAAAGACTTCCACGTATCATTAAGTTTTGCAATATTCTGAGCAATTAACAATTAGTTGGGGGGAGTCATTCTTTTACTGTTTTCTAAAGCAAACCAACACCAACACAAATTTTCTTCAAAGAAACATCAGAAAAACACACTGTAATACAAAAGACAGGCAAACATTCCAATTGGATGTTTAACCCTTTTATGACCACCAGCACGTATTATAGTTGTGAAGCGAGGAAAGTGCTATGACAATGTTTAATAAACTGTGTTAATAAAGTATTTGGTATCACTGAAAACAGAGCAAAAGCCTTCAGTTTTACATTGGTAATAAAGACAGGAGTGAGGTTGTGTTTGTCAACAAATGAAAGCAAGATGGGCAGGGACAGCACATCAGGTATTGTTTCCTGAAGTAAAGACCCACGACTGTTCGACTGTTCTCCGCAGTTACAATGAACAAGATCATCTGAGGTCTTAAAAGACACAAGAGACAAAAGGCAGTACTGATAAACCTTTGAAAGCATCTGAAATGCCCAGCAATGCCCTGTATGGGTGGTTTAGTGAGACCAGCTGCATACAGACAGCAAAGAGAGGGATTGCTGCTGCATTGGTGGCTCAGCTGGGCAGGATCTATTGACAGCAAACCCAAGTAACTGCGTCTGTGAATTAAATGATGCAGTTCATTGTATGACAACAGGAAACTGAATTCAACGTTCAGCTAATGGAAAAGAACATGCATGTGTAAAATCCAGTCTCCTTTCCCAGTCTGGTCCTTCCTACAGCATAAAAAGTTGTTAATGGGTTCCCACAGCTAATGGTTGAGTGAAGTGCTCCATACAGATACCACTTTTGTCAGCAGTGCTTTTACAACTACCCTCTCCTTAAAAATTTATTTTATTTGTAATAAGCCACAGAAGCCCTCCTAGATCAAGTGTAAAACACAGCCTAGCTATAACCTCAAATTTTCAGTTAAGGGGGAGATGATGAAGGGGTGTTAAATTTTGCTTTTTTAAAGGCAGATTAAAATTGAGCTAAATAGGCTGATGGGTTGGGAGTACTCAATGCCTGTGCAAAACACTGCCACTAACTTAATAAAAACAGCCAGCAACATCATAGCAAGGTAGGAAATGAAAACTTCCCAAGAAACACTAATGGGTTTCATTACAAATCTTCACGTCTAGTTATGTGAAATGCAGTGCAAGAGCTCAATCTGGTCAGAGCACTTTCAATTCTGTGAAATGCAAGGGTTGCAAGGCTGCAGAAGAGCAAAAGGATCAGCAGAAGTCAATTTGACAAGAGCTGGTCTGTGATTTCATCTGTGATACAGATCAGAACTGCACAGAAGGTCTTTGCAACTAAAACTTCAGGTTTAGAATAAATTGTATTTCTGCTGGTTATCAGTATTTACAGAGTAACATTTAAGTTAACATTAGGATTAAGTAACATTAAAGCTTGTGCCAAACTGGAGTGAAAGCAGCCCAAGCTGAAAACACCCCACTTTGCCGTGGCTGTTGCTGCCTGTAGATCACTCCTGACAGGCTTGGCTTGAGGGCAGCAGCACAGCTGTTCCCTTCTGACAGCCACAGCCCTGCTCTGCCACCTGAGGCACCTGGGTGGGTTTGTGGCACCTGGGCAGAACCTCACTGTCTTCTCTGGGACTGTGCAGGACATTGGCTGCAGGAGCCAAGGCACAGGACTGGGAATGAGGTCTTTGCAACCAAGTACTTTTTACGAAGGAAGCTTTAGCATAACATGAAGAGCAACATAAGCATGCTCAAACCTGCAGCAGTCATAGCCACAGAAAAGCTGGGAGAAGAAACCCATACCAATCCACACCTGGCTGCTTTGGCAGAAGCCAAGTTATGCCAACCTTTTCACCAGCCAAAATAGTTCTGTTGGGTGAGACTTTGTTGACATTACTGTGGAAGAGCATAGCACAAGCAGAATCAGTCACAGTAGGGCATTTTAAATGCTGCCTAGGCCATGATCACACAAACTCTTCCTGTGACTTATGCCCACTAGCACTACCCCAGTCTGTCAGTACTTGCAGGTCCTCTGGGCTCTGGCATTAAATAAGACTGAGCTTCTTTAGGACTGAGCTTCTCAAAGGAAGATAACTTGGTTGACTAAATTGATATTAATTTGCTTTAAAATTCTGTCAGAAATGGTATGGCTACAAAACTTTACTGTGCTCCTTCAAGAGGAGGAGAAAATGCCAAAATCATTCACTGGGCCACTGCCTTATTTCTCACACTGCTTTCAAGGTTCAAATGGGTTTCAGCGTGCTGAGCATCCCTGCCTGCTTGCTTTCCCTTTTGCCCTTCTCACCAGCTGACCATTCTGGTGGAATTCCCAGAAGCAGAGGATTGCACAGAGCTCCAAGGGAACTTGATTTATACAGCATTTGAAGGAAAATAATTTCTTCTAAAACACAGTATACTGCACTCACATTTCTCACTAAGTGCATGAAGATGAAGGAAGGAAAACACAGCTGGCAGCTTCCCTGTCCTTGGGCTCCTGCTCTGCAAGAAGCCCCATGTGGGGAGGCCTGCATCAGCAACATCAGACACGTTAACCCTGCTGTGTCTGCACTCAGGTTTGGATATCATGGATCTCTCTCCCAGGTACTCTGGTCCCTGACCATTTAAAGAGCTCTCAGACCCTGAAGAGAACTTGATCTTTGACAACTCAGTCAAACAGCAGAATTCTTACAACAAATGTCTGCACTTCCCACAGCTGAAAATTGAAAAAGGCTGCTTAACAACATAAAGCTGGAAAAAGTCACCACTTTGTTATCCATGCATTTTTAGTGCATTTCTTGTATTTTCCATAGCAACAGCAGTCACAAGGGCAGAAGGTGCTGTTCCCATATAATTCCAAGATTCATACATTTAGTTTTTTTCCTTCATTGTTACCAATACTACCACAAGACTGAGAGAATGTGTTAATGAAAGCACAAAAGTCTTCCTGGGAAAAACACAACAGAGAACTTTATAATGTGAATGCAAGGAAGTTACTTTTTGAAGATGGGTTTTAATATCAAGTAGGTGAAGAGAGCAGAATAAAAACTATCATAATCATCAATTCTTCATACCTCAAGTATAGATTAAGAGGCAAAAACCTATCAGTATGGGATTGCAACATAGATCCAAGCAACAAGCCAGAGCATGCTGTGCATACTGTGTCACCCCAAGCCAGCGCTGTAATTCTGCACTAAGGATCAAAAGGAGTGATCAGCTTCACTCCCACCTGGTGTTGGCACTGTCCAGTTTAATTCCTGGTTGTGACAGACACACTGAACAAAACTGAAGTGCTTCTAGTGCAGTCCTTGTTCACTAGATTTACCAAAGGTACAACTCCAGGAAAAACTTCAAAGCCTAAACCTTACACAGCAGCAATTTCCCTGCAAGGAACAGGCATTGCTTTCAGCAAAACCTGTGCATGCTGAACACCAGAAGCACCTGCTATTGTGAAACACTGTCTCCCCTCCCAAACAGAATAGATTTGTAACTGCAGCACAGTGCAAAAGAAAACAGAGGGGAGAGCTCTCACCTGTTTCAACAGAGCTTCATAGCAACTTACAGAGCAAAACCAGACAGGGAGATTGAAGCAAGCCAGACTCGTCCTCCCTCAGCTGAATGTACTGAACAGGCTCTTGGTGGTGTGCCTGAAGCAGATCATCTCTCTGCACTCTCTTCTGCTTATGCAGCAAGAGACAATGTACAGCACACCTAGCACAACTGTGTGATTTTGAGGATTGTCCTAAAATCTGCAGCAGTGTAACTGTGCTAGAAATGTCCTATTTAAAGCCCAAATAAAACCAGTACTTCAGAATCCCTAATAATTTTATATTCAACTTAGGAGCAATGCTTGCTCTTTAAAAAAAAAAGGAAAATAATCACTATCAAAAGGCTAAATGCTTCTTTTCAGACTTAATATTTTAGAAGCTTACCTTGCAGCCTTCACATGTAATGACACCATAATGGATTCCTGATGATTTGTCTCCACAGATCTTGCATGGAATAATTTCAATTTGAGCTGCAACAGAAGCACGCAACCAGTTAATTACATTTTCTTTTAAACACCTTATAAAAGCATTCCCTGATCAGCATTTGTACAGTGAAAACTAATAACCTGCTAAACATTATACTGCATTAACTATTCATTGCTGAACTGCAAGGATCCCCTAGAGCTTTGGACTAAATTATGGCTGCTCGTTATATAATAGCTTTTGGGTTATTAAAATGGGTCATTTGAGAAGGTGTTTAAGAACCCACAAGAAGGCTAGAATCAGCATTTCAAAGCCAAAAATAATAGGAGAGTTCACATTTTGGCCAAAGAGCTAAGATAACACTAGAAAGGTTTCTTCCAACTGCAAGGTTTCTTCATGCAAGACCACAGCAGGTAATTTTAAAGCTTGGCCTACCTGGAAGCAAATGCACTGCCTTTACCACAGCCACCAATATCCACCCAGCTCACATGGCTGGCCAACCCTAAATAGAAGTTACGAGGCAAAGAGCAACTCCATTTTGCATGAGAAACCCAAAAATTACCTATCTGAATCAAAAGGGAATTATTTGTGTATTGTCTACCACAGAAAAAAAACAAGGCAGGAAAATACAGCAGCACTCAGTTTACTGAAACCAGAGAAGTTGGTACAGTCTGGAAAATGCCATACAGTTATAAATCACAAAAGCTCTGATAAATATAAATTCATACATATAAACCCACCTGCTGAATTCAGTTTGGGGTGTGACTATCCCTAAATCAATCACCTTCCTGTGTGAATACATGGGTCCAAAAAGGGGCTCCTGCATGCTCAGGGACACCTCCCAGCTGCTTCTGGAGTACATGGCTGCAGTTGTTTTGCTGGCAGTGTTGGACAGACCATACACAGGCAGCGCTTTAGTGATCAGAACCAGCAGGGCACATTTCACACGTGCTTGGCAGTGCTCACTGCACAGAGCACACACAGGTAGGTGACTGAAACCCCAGGAAAGCCCTTGCTCTGCCACAGTGTGCTAGGATGAAGCTGCATCAGTTTTCTGGAAGTGGTTTAGTTGGAACAGTAAAAGTGCAACTCTTGCTGTGTCTGCAACTGTGACACATTAACAAGTGCTGTTCACCTCCGTCAGGAGCTCAAATCCATTCACAAGCTGCCTTGTTTAAGGGAGCTCCTCTTTCATCCAATTTCCAGCTATCCAGTCTGTGACAACACACAGTATCACATCTAATACTACTGTCTTACAATGCATTGGCTTAACTTCAGTTGTACTCTGTTCTAAAAAAGCTGTGTCTATAACAACATTGCATTTTGTGTGTCATTGAATCCCTAACTGGCTGCTTATTATTAATCAAGAATCATCTTCCAGTGCTACTGTGTGCTCCATTTCATTGCAGCACAACACAGCTCAGGATCTGACCCAAAGCATAAGATAATTATAAAGCAGAAGCCCAGAAGACTTGTAGCACAGCACCAATTCAAAATCTTCTCCAGGTGACATCAAATGCAAGAAAGGGGCAGCTGAGCAGCAGCAGCAGCACACAAGCGGCATCTATTTGCTCCTGGGAACCCGAAAGCAACTAAAATCATCTGCTGGGGAAGGCAGTGCCCAACAGCTACAGACTCCAGGGCTTCTGCCAGGCAGTTCCATATCAGCAGCTTTCCAAGCAGCCCCATTCAGTGGGACACCACTTGTATCTGCTCCCAGCAGGAGGACCTTGGCATCCTTGACCTTTAAACCCCCACCATCCTCGCAGCAAAAAAATAACAGGCTGAAATTAAGAGGTCTGTTTAAGATACTTAAGGAAGGAAATACTACTTCCCCAAAAATGGTTTTAATTTCACTTTGCTTTCAGCTAACACATTAAACACAGTGGAGAAGGAAGTGAACTAATAAAAGGGAAAAATGACGTGTGTGCTGTTTCATTAATGTGCTACATGAATTATTACTGGGGCCTCACATGTTTATGAGCTTGTAGCAAAAAGGGTAGCATAAAACCTCCTTCACACCAACAAGTTGAAGAACAGGCTGAAATTCACAGAAACTCAGAATTTGTATCATATGCAGTTCAAATTCAGAGAGCAATCCTGTGGGCAAATTCCAGAATAGCTCTACCAAATCCCAGTTGTGCCTTTTCAACATATGATTATTTTTCTCTGCTGCAGTGAATCAGCAGCCTTCTGCAGCTCCTTGGACAGAGTACTGACAAGGCTTATCTCCACAGCTACATGGCAACGTATTTTTTTTTACATTTCACTTTTATATACATAATTACTGCCTTATTTTGAATAGGTATGATATAATTGGATCTAGTTTATCTACAATCTCCAGCATGTTAGTTAAATCACCCATGAAGCCTGTCTATGCAATCCCTATTTCTTAAGCAACAGGACATTTGCAGAGTGTTTCTGAAGGAATGTAACATGCCTTCAAAGTGATGGCCTAAAGCTAGGTTAGTAATAGTCTAAAAGGTGCCATAATTAGTCCCAAATGCATTTTCCAGGCTGCTTTACTGGTATAAGAGAATCTCCACAGATTCACAGGGTCCAGCTGTGCCAGCATTTGCCCAACATCATTTTTATGAGTGCTGGCACCAAATCAGGTATAGTTTTAGAATTCCTGATTTCCTCAAATTTACATCTTCAAGGTACTTACTTTCAATTAGGCACACAGCATTTAAAACTCCAACTTAGTGCTGCACTCTGAGATGCAGGACAATGGATGAATCTCAGAAGCACGAATCGCTGGGGACTGCCACAACCAATTGTAGGACAAATTAATGCAGGGAGAGATCAGATCAATTACTGCTCCACGTGGTGCCTTTGCAAATCAACTCATTGAAATGGAACCCCTGTCGCACGTTCATACACTTCCCATACAGCATGAAAGGACTTAAGATACTTTAAACTTACTAAATGCAAATTGCCTGTGCCAAGATTATGCATTTTTTCTTACAAGGGTGAAAATATTTTCCCCACTTTTAACTTTGACATGCAAATATGTACTTGCTAAAACCTTCTTCTTATGCAAACAAGGCAGGTGGGAAATATTTTTACATGTCAAGAATATGTTCCGACTTGGTTTCTCACATTCCCAGAGTTACTTAAAGCTTCCTACTGTGCTCAAATTAATTGTACCTGTTCTCTGCTTACATTTATTTATATGGTATATTTTTCAAGATTACATAAAATACTCTAATTCATGCTTTAGACTAGAATTAGCCTAAATTACAGTTTACAATTTCTGTCTCCTGGGGTGGTGCTCAGGCTGATTCAGGCTGGTTCATGCATGAGCAAATTATTTCTTAAATATGAACTGCAGAAAAAAATAAACTCTTGTGGTTGCTTAGGAACTGCCATAGATACCCAGGTGACAGATGTAGTTAGTACTCCCAGATTAAAGGCCTAGGACTCTTTCACACCCTGAAATAACAGTGCTCCACAATCCTACCAAGGCTGTCCTGTGCCAAAGGCAGCAAAGAGGAGGAATAAAAGCCCAAACAAAGCACCAAGAGCAACAAATGAAAGCTTGAGCACAGAGACCCACCACCAAACAAGTTGCTACAGAAAGGGCTCCTGAGAGCAAGAAGGGACCTTCCAAGGCCTGAAGGCAGCAATCCCTACACACTGATGTCAATCAAGCTCATCTCCACAGCAAAGGGCCTCTCCACCCACCAACACCCCCCAGGTCAAGTGCCTTCACTTGGAGCTGCTGGGTCCAAGCAACCAGACTGCCTGGTAATTGTCCTCCTGCTGAAATGTCAGACAAGCTTCCAGAAAAAGGAGTGTGGACCCTGATCTACTCAAAATCACACTGAATAGGACTTGAGCCCAAGCATTACAGGGGGAAAAAAGCCAGTGTTTTTCCACCTGAACATTTTTTCTTCCTCCATCCACTGTGTCTTCACATGGCAACTGTCTGAGGCAGCTCTGGTATGCTTAAACCATTGCCTCCACCTAATTCCAAGGGAACATGCCAGCAGCCAGCCAGTGAGAGCACCCCGTGACATCTTCTGCTGGCACCTGGAACAGGACAATATGCCTTATTCCCTCCTGCTCCAGGGGACTTTGTTCCCCAAACCCAGAATAGTTTCACTGGGTTTGCCTCCTTTTTCAAGTTCCCTCCCCCAGCCAAATCCTCTAGAGACCTCTAGCCTCTTCCTTTGTCTTAATTCCCACATCATGAAATGTTGTTTTATTCCTTGTCCAGTTTGTGCAGTAGAGAAGTAGGAAAATCTATTTCTGTATCTGTAAGGGAATGCACTGTACAAGCTCATAATAATATTCCATTTCTCTCTTTGCAACTCATGGGGCAGACTCAGATCAGGGCAAGAGCCTGTACAGCCAAGCAAGGCACAGGTCACCTTTCTCCCCAGTACTGTCACTTAAACAGAAACACACTGAGCCTCAGCACAGGAAAGTGTGTCACCAGTTCACCCTGAAGAACACATTTAAAAAGAAAAAAATTGTTTTCCAAACACAGAATTTTTTTTCTCCCTGTTAACATTTGTGAATAAAAAATTTGTTTCTAGTGAACTAATTGTCTTGGGGTAGAAAAGGATTTTTCCTTCCCTCCTTCTGTTTTTGCACTGTTAATTTTAAAAAATTGTACATGCACACAAAGATTTGGTATCTTGGGAAGGGCTCTGTGGATGCAAGAATTGGTCCCATGTCTGCCTTTTAGGGGAGATCTGCCCAGCTGACCTGAGTGAACTAGAAAGTTGGGTAATTAATGAAGTTAATTGTCTTGTCTCCTCTAGAGTGAAGGCAGGAAGAGAGGAAAGCAAAGGAGAAATAGAAAGCAAGAAGGAAAAAGGGCACATGATTCATCTTATTCATAACAAGCAACACAAACCCCTGAGTGGAGAGGCCTCCTCTTCATTCAACACTGAAAGAATCTAATGATATTTTAATTACAAGCCTAACTTTTAGAAGGTGAAAGGCAAATCCTACTGTGTCTTCCTATTTCTGAATTTAAAAAGCGTTTTCTGGAAAGGAAAGCTGGTGCAGGAGGTGCTTCCTTCTCCCAGGGTAC